CCAGTTTTGGGCTGCCCAATTCAAGAGAGACCTGCTGGAGAGCATCCAGCAGAGAGCTGCGAGGATGATTAAGGGACTTGAACATCTCTCCTATGAGGAGAGACTGAGAGAACTGGGGCAGTTTAGCCTTGAAAGGAGATGGCTGAGAGGGGACCTTATTAACATATATAAATATCTGAGGGGAGAGTGTCAAGAGGAAGGGGACAATCTCTTCTCAGTGGTGCCCAGCAATAGAACAAGGAATAATGGGTTTAAGTTAGGACACAGGAAGTTCCACCTCAACATGAGGAGAAACTTCTTTACTGTGAGGGTGATGGACCACTGGAACAGGCTGCCCAGAGAGGTTGTGGAGTCTCCTTCTCTGAAGACTTTCAAAAACCACCTGGGCACGATCGCCCTAGGGGATCCTGCTCTGGCAGGGGGGTTGGACTAGATGATCACTAGAGGTCCCTTCCAGCCCCTAACATTCTATGATTCTATGATGAATACAGACCCAATGTGAGATATCTTAACTGAAATTTGCCAAATTATTTCTCTAGAGAAATTTTTTGAAATGAAAAAGGGACAATGTAAAGATGCTCTTGAAATCTACAAACGATTTCTTACTCGAATGACCAGAGTATCAGAGTTTCTTAAAGTTGCAGAGGTAAGTGACTTCCATTCTTCTGGAGTCTGGTACTTAAGTGTTTTGTGAATTTTTTAGCACCAGTATAAAATATTAATTGCATCTGACTCACTGTTTATAAATGTGAGATGGAACAGAAGTTTCTGAATCTGCTTGTTCAGCTCTTCTTGAAGTAGTTAAGCCCTGCTTATGACTTCCTGCACATGTCTCTGCTGTGCAGCCAGCCTCAACTTTGCTGGTGACATAATACATGACATATCAATATTTCCTGGAAATGCTGTAGTAAATGCAGGCTTCTAGAACAAGGTTGAACTTTAGAGGAAGTAGAGGAAGATACAGCAATTAGGAATAAAAGCATAATGATTTTATAAGTCTGCTTTTTAAGTCTTTGCAGCCAGCTACAAGCTAACTCGGATATCAGATTTTCCTGGTTTTGATCCTTGTTTTCATCCTCTTATGTGGATAATACAAATATTACATGGTTAATTAACTCTTTTGCTGGGCTCTCATTTGTGGTGGTTGATTCCCTGGCACAAGATGCACATTTTCCTTGTTTCATGCTTCATAATAATGGACAGCAGTAATGAGCTGAGTAAGAAGTCTGTTTCTTTGCTAATTTACTCAGCTATTTATGAAGAAGCCTTACTAGACTCCTGAATGACATGTGATGTCTGATATAAATGTTGAACTTGAGGTAGTGAAGTACTTCAGACACCTATAGGTCACCTTTGCAGGACAGATATAGTGACTGTGCTTCAGGATTACTAGGTGCACTGGAATTTGTTCTTCTGCAAAAGTGAAACCAACAGGCACTTTGAAGAGTCATAGTGAAGCAAGAGAACAGCCAGTAGAAGATTGCAGACTTGGACCTCATCTTGCTGTGTTTGAAATGTTAGGAGAGAAAGGTGGAACAACACAGTGATGTGAGCTTTAGCATTTTTTTTAAGTGATATTTTCTAGAATTTGCTCACTGACTGTGTTTCAGAGAACTTCATTAGAATAGTCAGGTATCAGTATGTGTGTGGCAGTTCAATAACGCTGTCCTCTGAGACAGCAGTGTGTGACCAGAAAGCCTTGCCTGACTTGTCGTATGGAGTAAGAACTTTATCTGAGTGGAACTGCCTTTTTTAAAAAAAAAAAAAAAAAAAGAAAGGAAAAGGACTTATGCAGGTTGTTGAGCATAGCTATTGGCAAGATGAGCATCTGCCCTTGCTAATTTTCTAGTCTCTTTCTAAAGATAAAGTGCATTTATAGCTTGAAGAGCATACCAGAGTTCTAACCAAAATTGGTGCCTGCTGCAGTGGAGTAACACACTTACGTTTTGCCTTTTTTATATCCACAGCAAGTTGGAATTGACAAAGGTGATATCCCTGATCTTACACAGGTAAGCTTCTCTCGCAGTCTTTCTTGATCTGTATAGTAACTAAAAGTTAGTAGTGAGGAAGCACACCAGGAATGTAAATGTTGGTAAGAAGTCATACCACCTAAGATTTTAAAGCCCTCTAAACTTTCAAAAAACAACTGCCCAAAATTATTTTTGAAGACAGATATAACAAAAATAATGTCTTTCATGATGACTTCTGACCTATAGTTGAAGGATAGACTATTTTGCTCTTTTCTTGCTAAAGGACAGATTTTCACAGCTTGTAGCTCAAGTTTATTTTTGATGACAGACCGCATAGAGATTGTGGTGTGACTTGCTTTGTAACCTCTACCTGACACAGTCTTGGTCCAGAGATGAAATTCAGAGCAGCATTAGCACTACTATCTTGATCTAGGTACAGCGAGCTTGAAGTTTAAATGCAGAAGTTGGATTGTTGTGATTTGATTATTGAACTTCTCTGTCAGTATGCATCAAAGCTTTTAACATCAAAATTCACTTATGGTGTAGCAGCTTAAATTCTATTGTGCTGGTTCATTTTCAGTATCTCTTGCAAATTGACCCGGGTGCCTGGCTTTGTGTTTAATGTGAGAAGGATGTTTACTTGGAGGAAGAGATCCATACTGAAAAGTTCACTCATGGCAGTTTTGATGCCAATAAAATTGGAACAGAAGAGCAGTGCAAACTGTTGTAAATCATAAGTGTTCATAACCTATGAATGTGTAGTTTTTTGAAAGTGCCCTGAAAATTTGGTTTAAATCAGCATCAGAATAGTGGTTCCTTTGGTCGAAAAAGCAGTTAAAAATGTTGAAAGTGAGGCATGATGTGAAGGTGGAGAGTTTTAATCTTTTTGGGTATCAGATGCTATGGAGTTAAGAAGTTTGGCCACTTTTTCAGCAGAGGAAAACTCAGATTTCTAGCAGTGTGTGGAATACCAAACCCAATTCTGAAATACCTGAGGTAGTATGTTCACCTAACTGTACCTCAGGGCCTTGTTCGACAAGGTCCAGTGAGTCATGAACTAAGTCCTTGAACTAGAAGAACTCACTTTAAACTCAGTTAATGAAATATGCTTTATATTTTCCTGTAGCGCTTTGATCTCCTTCTGCTTGTGTTCCATCAGCCTGCTGGAAAGGCTAAGGCTGCCTGATGGGACCCCACAAGCCCTATGCTGCGGCATCAGGCAGTGTTGCACTTAGAATCATAGAATTGTCAGGGTTGGAAGGGACCTTAAAGATCATCTAGTTCCAACCCCCCTGCCATGGGCAGGGACATCCCCCACTAGATCAGGCTGCTCAGAGCCCCATCCAGCCTGGCCTTAAAAACTTCCAGGGATGGGGCTTCCACCACCTCTCTGGGCAACCTGTGCCAGTGTCTCACCACCCTCATGGGAAAGAACTTCTTCCTAACGTCCAATCTGAACCGATCCATCTCTGGCTTTAATCCATTCCCCCTAGTCCTACCACTACCCAATATCCTAAAAAGCCCCTCCCCAGCTTTCTTGTAGGCCCCCTTGAGATACTGGAAGGCCACAATAAGGTCTCCTCAGAGCCTTCTTTTCTGCAGACTGAACAGCCCCAACTCTCTCAGTCTGTCTTCATAGGAGAGGTGCTCCAGCCCTCTGATCATCCTCGTGGCCCTTCTCTGGACACGCTCCAGCACGTCCAGATCTTTCTTGTGCTGTGGGCTCCAGAACTGGATGCCGTACTCCAGGTGAGGTCTCACAAGAGTGGAGTAGAGGGGGAGCATCACCTCCCTCGACCTTCTGGCCACGCATCTCCTGATGCAGCACAGGACACGATTGGCTTTCTGGACTGCAAGTGCACACTGACGGCTCATGTTGAGCTTCTCGTCCACCAGCACCGGCAAGTCCTTTTCTTCAAGGCGGCTATCAAGCCAATCACTGCCCAGCCTGTTTCAGTGCTACGAATTGCCTCGACACATATGGAGAACCTTGCACTTGGTCTTGTTGAACTTCATGAGGTCCACCTGGGCCCACCTCTCCAGCCTGTTGAGGTCCCTCTGGATGGCATTCCTCCCTCCAGCGTGTCAGTCACCCCACATAGCTTGGTGTCATTGGCAAACTTGGTTAGTTCACCTTTGTTACTGCTACTAGAAGGGTCCCTTTCACCTCATGTGCCAACACTTAAAAATACGATAAAATAGCTCCTTTGAAAAGAAGAGGTCTATAATGATCATCTAGTGCAACCACCTGAGCTGTTCAGAGGTCCCTCTTAGCTGTATTCTCCCAAAGGCTGCTTGGGACCCACTTGCTAAGGCTAATCGGCAACGTGCTGCAGATTGCGTATAAGATCTTATCAGTGTATTTCAGTGAGAAATAAATAAAAGGTGAATAATCAAACTGAATTTCAGCTAACGAGTAATATATAATTGCATGTAATATCAACAGTATACCTAAATTCCTAAAGCAAGCCAAGGTGAGAGTTAGTAGTATTCCACAGTAAGTTGGTTGTGTTGATACTTGATGTGTGCATGTACTCGGTAAATCCAGCCAAGTGGTCACAGTACTGAAATACAAGTGGATAGCTGTCATCTTTGGGCTTTGTAGTTTGGCTGCAAGGGTTTGGAGGCTGAGGAGTCATCTGGGCAGCTGAAGAGCTTGGCTCATTTTTGTTTATTAGCAATTCTGAAGTACGGCAGTTTTGCCCCAAAGAGCTAGTGGGCAACCCATATCTAAGGTCCCACTATGATGCTGACTGATAGATTAGTCTAATATTGAAGCAGTACCTAGAAGAAATAAAGCAATGTTCAATGTTGCAAATTAGACATCAAACAATATATAATTTCTGAACCATTGCATCTAGTTAGAAATTTTCTGAATCTTCCTCTGTGAATTTTTTTTTAATAATGATTTTCATATTACCCTCTAGGCTTTTAAGAAACCTGTAAATAGTATATTGGAAATGTATTTTAAGTGTGTAGAGATAACTGGTAACAGAAAATAATGGAATTTTTTTAAAAAAAGATTATATTTTAACATAGCTTTCTGCTTTCGTGTTTTAACTAGGCACAAGTTGTGTCTTATCCTGTAGCCTTTTTGAATGAGTAGAAGTCTGTTTGTTGGAGTTTGCTTACCTTTTTCTTGCTGCTGGAGAATTCTTATAACTAAGTCACTTGTGTTTAACCACGTTATTTCTTGTGCTCAAATTAGTTGAAAAGGAATGAACGTGTCTATAAAAGAAGCAATGGTAAAGATGTTTCTGCAGTGCTTATGTACTTGAGGCATATTTAAACTCAAGCCATTGTTTAAGGATTTTTTTGAGCATTTTAAATTTCTGCCTGTGTTACGTTACCTTACTGCTCACTTTTGATGCCAAAATTAATATGGAGACAGTATAAGTACATTTAGCTGTGCATTGGTACTAACAGGTGCTAAGCATCCTGAAACATCTGACTTTGCCAGCCAGGTGGTTTTCAGCATGCTCTAGACAGGAGCAAGGGATAGCCTGTTTTCAAGCATCGCAAGCTGACTTTTTTTTTCAAGCAGATATATGTCCTGAAATTAAAGACATTGTTTATAAAAAACATTGTAGGTATTGCTGTCGGGAATTGTGGTTGATTTTAAAGATACTGATAAAGAGAACTCCCCATTTAAAGACTGTACCATTGATGAACTGGTAACCCTGATGAAACACTTAAATAAACTACTCCATCTCAAGGGTTTCCTCCTTGCTTGTTGATCTTCTAGGATTCTACTTATCTGGACTCTATTTTTATATTGAAGTAGCTAAGCACTCTGTCATTTGTATTTACAACTACTTTTCCCATCTATTATTCAAACAGCAAGTGCATGCCTGGAGGTATTGCCTGACCACAAAAAAGTTGCTTAAAATAAAACCTAAGATCAGAGAGACTTGAAAAAGCTTCATTTTCATAGATGTCTTTCTAAGTTTTGAATTAGCTGCTGGGCTCGGTAACCTGTGCCTGGCTACCTTTTTGAGAAGAAACAGCTCTAAGGTTGGGAGTCTTGAAGGAAAGGTAGCTGCTTTGAGGGGCATTGGAAAGGACTTCTAATTTGTCCCATTTAGATGGCAAATATTATCTAACTCTCTGATCGTGAAATAGGTGTTGGAGGTCTGACTAGAAGCAAAACTGAAAAGATGATGTTGAACACATTACTCTTAAAATTATCTCTGTGGATGCCTGTGCTGTTGTCAATGTTTAACACTGTCTCAAAGGATGATAAGCAGCACATCCTGGATTTAGGCTTCAGATGCTGTTTAGTAGAGGTACATGTTTTCTCTCTGTAAATATCGACACGTTATTATCTTTCAAAAGCTGTCTTTGCCTGAATATTTCTAGCATGGAAATCTAGTATTTTCACAGTGGCATAAATAAAACAACAGAATGAGCACGCATATGGTGGACCTTGGGGAGGTTGGTGCTGGATTTCAAAGTATTGTTAGGTCAGTGCCATGTGTCTAGAAGTGTATCTTTCTCTTTGCTTTCAAGGCTCCTAGCAGTCTCATGGAGACCCTTGAGCAACATCTAAACTCACTGGAAGGAAAAAAACCTGGCAACAAGTAGGTATATATGTTGTACCGTGTATCAAGTCACTGTAGTAACAATGTGAGACTAGCTGATGTTTAGGTTTGCCTCCCCCAGCCTCCTTTTCTCACTTAGCTGGAAAATAAGATGTGGTAAGGCTAGGCTTTTCCTTTCCCTTTACAAAGTTTTCTTAATGGTAACTTTTGTTTTCTTACTGGAGTGTGGAGGGAAGCAACACACCAAGAAGCTAGAGACTTTACAAAGTGAAGTAAAATTTAGTTGTTTTCTAATGGCTTTGCATCTTCTTACTAGATACTTGTCATGGCTAAGTCTAGGAAGGATTAAGCTAAACTTGTATTTTCTCTTTTATTGTTGCTTTCCTTGCAATTTAGTGAAGGGTAAGTACATATATTTATATATCAATTGCATGCAGGCATGGTTGTTTTTATTTTAACACGGCTTGAACACTTAAACATCTTTTTAAAATTATACTCAAACTATTGCTTGCTTTTCTGTATAGTCATTAAGTTATTTTTGGTCACTTCTGTCATAGCTCCAGGTGTTCTAATCAGTTCTACAGCTCCCTATCCAGTTGAAGTAACCTCTGTAGGATGGATGCTGGCTCAATACTGGTGCAGCTCAGTTTTAAATTCAACTCCTCCTTTAATCTCTGAGATCAAAGCAGCTCTAAAAATACGTGGCAGTATTCTCATACCTCATAATAATGAAAGTTAACAGATGCACTGATGTATACTTTAACATATGAGTAAGGCTCTGTTGGTTAGGGTTAGTATGATTTTCTTGCATGTGGGAGAACTTTCGACTTGGACTTTGCAGCTAACTTTTTCCATACTTTTAAATATCGTTTTAAAGTGACTGACTTGCTTTAAAAGAGCGGTAGACTTTGAAAATTCACAACACGTCCTCAGAAGACTTATATTAGATAATGGCTCCCATATTGATGTTATTCTGCTGCTGTTGCATGATTTTGTAATATGGTGGCCTCTTGCCCCAACAACTCTTTCCTGCCAGCTCCTGTAGGCCCAAAAGCAAGATATTTGCATGCATCTCTGCCTTTCCTCCAGAGCTTATGTAAAAGGCAAAATAATCCTGTGGTACCAGTTAGCTTAAAAGATTAATTTCAGATTTGAAGTGAAAATTTGCATTCCCTATCTAGAGGGGCACATGGAAGTTTGAAAAATGAGGAGGGTATGAAATTGTTGATATCTTCAGAAAGCTGTCCTGTTTAGTTTTTGGTCCTTTTGCAGGAATTTTGATGACCAGAAACATAGTTTCCAAAAGTTTACTTATCTGAAAACCTCTTTTTTTTTTTTCCCCCACCCTAGATCTGGGGCTCCGTCTCCTCTGAGCAAGGTAAATACTATGAATTGCTGTATTAGTAAATTCTTGTTCAGGTGATAAGGTTTAGAACACTTTGAGGGCCTAGAGAGTTAAATTTCCATCTCCTAATCCTCCTTTTATGCTTTGCGACCTAGGCCCTGGTCAAAACTGCATCTTTTAATGGCCTTGTAAATAATGGCCCTATAAACATGCTTTGCTGATCTAAGGGCTATCATGCTTATACCAGTGCAGGATGCTAAGCAGCTTTGCCAGGATTTGATGGTCATGCTTTGTAAAAGCATAGAAGTTACACATATCTTTATCACAACTTCTTATTTTTTTTCTTTAATTCTTTTTCCCTCCTTAGTCACTGTATAAGTGAGAAACTTACTCTGTACTGTTTCTTCTCCAAGCTCTTCACTCCGTTTGCAGCATTTTAGGAGGAACTTCTGACTCTTAAAAACCGTGTTCATGTTAAAAGCCAGGAAGAAAACTTTCATCCGATATACCTGGTTTTATAATTGACCTTTATTCGTGAGAGCGCTTACCTTAATTTAAAGCAAGAGTTACCAGTGAAACCAACTTAGTTTGAATGTCAGAGAAACTAATGAGCTTTATGTTGCTAGTAATAGTAGTTCCTGGTATCCCTGAAGCATTGCCAAGTGCCATAGTTCTGCGTCTAATAATGGGCATTGTGCAGGAAAATCTCAATGAAAACTTCTGAATCTGAGGGAGACAGTTCAGTGGTTCATTCTAGTGAAAGCTCTTAAATTCCTTTCCAAAAAGCCCTTTTTAAAACAAAAAAAAACCCCACAACCAAAACCCTCACTTGTTCAATACTGAAGCTGTTGGTGAAAATGACATTATGGCTCAGGAAAGGGTTCTTGCAACTTTAGTTAACCTTCTCTTCCCCAATTTACGTGAAGAATTTGGACCACTCTAGTCTCAAACATTAGTAAAGCTTTGAGGAGAGATCTCATCTCCTGCTAGAGTTGTGATGATGGGATGGCAGTAACAGAACTTGGAAAAGAATTATTTCAGATTTGCCGTTCTTTCTCACTATGGTCAGAACAGCAAACAGTGCTAAACATACGACTTGGTTTTGTTTGCTAAGAAGAGGATCTCTCTAGCATGTGAGATGCTCTAACAAAGCTCGTAGTATCTTCTAGAATTAAATTTACACTCTTTGAGCTAACTTGAGTCTTCAAGTGTGCAGAAGAGTTGCCATACTCTTCTGGGTGTCTGCCCTTGCCATACTTAAGATATCCTTATCCAAAATAGAAGGAGGTAATGAAGCGAAATCATTGGCTGAGCTGTCTTTTATATCTTCCCAAGGACTTAATCGTTAGCATTGTTGATGTTTTTTTAAAGTGTCTTCAGTCTGAAGGTTTACATACACACTTTTAACTTGGTTTCTAACTATTTCTATGGTTAGAACACCAATGTCCTGTTCTGGACAAACTTATTTCATTTCATGGACAAAATGAAGAGTCTGGCAGATGTAGAAATAAACCTGCAAAATTACTTTCATAGAATGATCAAATCATTTAAATCGGAAAGGACTGTGAAGAGCACTGACTCCAACCATTAATCTAGCACTGCCAAGTCCACCACTAAACCATGTCCCTAAGCACCTTTGTTCCGCCCATCTCCAGGATGATCTTAAAACTGAGAGGAAGGGGTTTGCTGGGGAGCAAACTATTATCTTGGATCTTGCTGAGAATACAATAGGCATTTCTTCTCGAGCCAGGCATTGCCAGGTGGAATCACCTTGGAGTTTCTCAACTCCACTACCCTTTGAAAACTTAGCCCAGTCTTCCTTAAATTTTTTCAAAGGGGAGAACAACTCACAATAAGAAGACCTGATGGCAAAACTGGATTTTTAAAGTATGTGAATGTGTGCATGAGTTGTTTGTGGAGAAATGCTGGTGGATTGAGTATATGTTTAAAATATTTCTCTAGTCTTCTCCAGCCACAACTGTTACATCTCCTAGTTCTACTCCAGCGAAAACTATTGATACATCTCCTCCAGTTGATCTTTTTGCAACTTCTTCTACAGCTGCTCCAGTCAGGTAAGTTAAAAGCATATTTGAGTTACTGAGCTTGATGTAGCTGCCAAAGTCATGCCTGTAACAGGAGTCTTGCCTCCAAGACTTTGCTTACTTGGCCGCTAGTGTACATCAGTATTGAATGGGATGCATGATTCTTCTGGTATAGAACACAAACAAGCTCTAACACACACAAGAAAAAAAAAAATAACTGTGGCTACTCTGATTTGTTTTTGGCATAGTAGTGATATTGTGCCATTCTCAACGTAGACCTCTAACTGAATAGACTGAAGTAATGTGCAAATCTGAAGCAGTCTTTGCTGACCTTCAGTATTCTGTTTCTGAAACTGCTGAAATAAGATTCTTTTTTCTTGCTGTTCGAATCAACTAATGAAGTACAAAAATAATGAACTTTTAGAGGTTAAAAAAAATACTTGGCCAGTGAGAAAATCTGAACCTTGCTTTCAAGTCAAAACTAGAGCAAACCACTGTTGCTTATTGTAATGAGGAGAAATTAAAGAAGTCTAGGCATGTAAAGCTCAAAGCTTGAAGTCTGAAGACATAACTAACTTCCATTAAATGTCAGATGAAGTACTTCACTGAAGAAAGATCTTCTATTGTTTATTATTTTAAAGTTCTAAATGAACAAGACCTTGTTTCCTAAGCAAATATCTGGCTCGCTTAAGCTGTAGAAATTTTACTAACTCTCTTCTACCTAATGCCTGTTTGTTGCCTGCAAATGCAGGTTTTTTGCTTTCTGACATGGCACAATGAAATATTAAAGTAGAATGGTGCTGTTTTCAGTTGCAGCAGTTATTTGCCCTGTTCTTGGGGACCACCTGGAATTCTGATTTTTGATTTGGGGATTTTGGTTGGTTTGGTTGCTTTTTTAAGAATCATAAAAGTCTCGTACATCTGTTACAATGTCATGAAGTAAGGGAAGGAAGTTAAGTTCCCATCCCAGGATGTAATGTGTTCTTGGCTCTTAACTGCAGTAGAGATGTTTATGGCCACTCCTCTAATTCTAAGGCCTAAAAGAATATGTACCTCTCAATAGCTTCATTAGTTGTCCAAACTAAGGGTAGTTCCTACAATCCACTCATGATTTTTCTTTTTTTTGAACTTGATAAAAATGGATGAATTCCTCCAGTATTTCATGTCTCTCTTCCTTTCCTTGGCAGCTCTTCCAAACCATCCAGTGACCTTCTGGATCTCCAGCCAGATTTTGCTGCTACTGGGCAGGCAGCTCCAGCAGCCCCTGCTGGAGCCACTTCATGGGGAGGTAGAGAAACCTCACTGTCAGCGTCTCTTCTTGCAGTCTCCATCTTCTTTGCCTGACTGAACTGAAACCTGGCTCTTTCTCCGCTAGCACAAGATGTTCCCAGCTCTCTCCCAGCCTTCTGCTGACCTGACAGTCAGGCATCCTCCCTTCGCAGCACAAAGGCTACTCCTTTTTCCAGGGATATGCATAATAGTATAAGCTGCTTATAAAGGTCTGGCTGCAAATCTAGGGGGAGCCAGGATTATGTGACTAAAAGTGAGCAAGAAGGGGATGACTGAAGGTGATCAGGTAGGGTGTAGGCACTTGAAAACAGGAGAACTGGAAGTGCTCATGTGCTTATCAGCAAGGTGAGGGCGGAAATCAGTTCTTCTGTTCATACAGCAAAGCCCACAGATCAGTAGGAGGAGGATCAAAAACACATTTTTTAAGACAAAAAGGCATGTAAAACTAATGGTGGCCAGTATATTCTGTTGCAAGTGTGATTGCCTCTGACAACCCTGAATATACTTTTATTAAATCTTCCTTGTCTACTTCAAATAATAATATGAAAATATAATAGAGGGCTGAGAGCTTTCAAATAGGAATACCTAACCAGCTCCGTGGTGAACTGAGTCTGTTCCAGGCAACACTGGCAGCTGGTGATCTGAAGAGGACTGCAATAAATGCAGGCAGTTTTCACTGCTGTCCTGTGAATACAAGGAATTAGGCCAGTAAATGTGATTTACCTTATGTAGTTGTAAACCCACTGCAGTGTAATCTTAAGAGGTCTTCCCTTGTGTGGCAGCTTAATGACCTCATCAGCCTGGAATGCTACACTCAGTCATTCTGACTCTGCTATGAATGCTAATACTGGATGCTAGTGTCTTCTTCATTCCCTGTTTCTGTTCCTAGCTTTAGTTCGTTAAAGATGACATTGTATTTCAGCCACTTCATTAGAAGAGGATAGCTGTGGCTGTCATGCAGACCGTGTTTTGCATATTCCTATTTAATCTCTTGAATTTTTTTTTTTCAGATATGTCAGTTTTATTAACGAAATGTAATCTTACTCAGAAAGCAAAACCAGAGTCATCTGTTCTAGGATGTCCGGGACTAATTATTCTGCAGTTCTTGACTGCATCCTATTTGTCTTACTGTGTTACTGCCAAGTACTGCAACACAACTTTTGAGATGTTTAGAAGAGCTCAGGCCTCTCAGCTAACTTTTTTAAGCAGTTGCTCACTTAGGCAGAGTAAATAGGCATTAATGTTGTAAAATATTGATTAAAATTGCAATTGAAAGCTGATTTATTTGGGTTTTTTGGCTTTGCTTTTTTGGACAAATCATCTGTAGTTTTCAAACTTAGATGGTTTTATTCTTCTGAATTACTGAAAACTTGAAAATTGACTAGTAATGCATCTAGTCCTCTAATTCGACAGTGGAAAAGGACAGCTAACTTCTTTTCCTTTGGCAAGGATTATTGCTAACCTCATCAAGTATACTTCAGTCTTATCTTTCAGAATAGCATTTTGGAAACTTAGTAAGCTTCAAGTTTTTGCCCATTACTGGTGGTAGGAGTCCAAGTATGATGACATGCTACTGCACTGGAATCTTGCTGGTTTGTTTGTTTGTTTTTCTTTTTTAAAACTTTCCTAAATAGTTGCCAAACACCATGTCAGACATGCATAAATTGAGAACTGAAATGGTTTTTTTTGTGAAAATACTGAAGTAGCCATTAATGTTTCATCTGGTAATGAGAAAACCTTTGAGCTCGTGTTAAGGGTTGGGAGTTTTATTTACTTATTCAAACTAAATATGCAGGATGAAGCTAGTAGTCATTATTATAAATTGTATGGTCTCAAAGGTGCTACAGAGCCTTCTAATCAGTGAAGGTGAAGCCTCAAGAGAAACTGCATTTAGTTCTGGGCTTGGGGCTTGGCAGAGGGCTACCAGGGCTCTGGGGATCTAGAGCACATCTCTGCAGAGAGAGCTTCAGGGAGCTGGGCCTCTGTCATTTATCAAAGAGGAGGCTAAAAAGACTTCTAATAGTGGCCTGTAACTACTTAAAGAGAGTTACAGAGCAGAGGCAAAATTTTCTTGGAAATGATGGTCAGTTATAATGAAAAACAATAACTATAGATTGTAGCGTTAGAGACTGATGGGACATTCCATTCCTGGGGATTTCTCAAGACCTGACTAGACAAGGCTGTGACTGCCCTGAGCTGATGTTGGGCATAAGGTTCTGAGCAGGAGGCTGGACAAGGTGACCTTGCTTTCATCCAGGACTTTTGGGAGGGTGTGTAACAGTGCCTCCCTCTTACTTGAGCTTCTTCCTTATCTTCAAAACTCTTCTGGCTCACAGCAAATTAACGTGGTGGGAACTCAGGAGAAAGAAGTAGAAGGGAAGCTGAAAGAATTGCTGCAGTTCAGAATAGCTAGGGAAACATGAAGATCAAATACTTAAAGATGCAGCATCAAATTGGAACTTTAAATGTCATATAAACCTCAGGAATACATGTCACCAGCAAATAATCCTGCTCTCTGTCTCCCTGGCAGTATAAATTCTGTGTATTCTGGCATATACTGTGTATTAGGTATAGTACACTGTGTATTTAGTGGCATATACAGTATATTGTTGTATATCTACTGTATATCTGAATACAATGTAAGTTATCTGGCAAATGAACTATAATGTGGAAATCTACACTTCTGTGCTAACGGGAGTAATAGGGTAGTAAATTGCCTGTGGCATGTACTGCATTGGGCAGACAGAGTAGACTGTAGCATTACAAAAAATACAGGAAATCAAATTCTCCATACTCATGAGGTCTGAATCTTGAATGTAAAAGCAAATCGACTAGAATTTTGATCAGAACTACCTTGCAGTGTGCCTTGTAATATGGATTTGCTTATTATACTGTTACTTTAATGTTAGTATACAATAAAGCATTGTTTTTAAACCTTCCCATACTAAGAGTGAGTGTAGATTGTCATGCTAGATAATTGTAATTTCACTGTATTGTGATCTATAACATAACTAGGTAACAAAAATGCATTGAAGAATAAGCTATTAGAAGGTAAAAGTTTGCCAGCAGTCGCTTATTTCAAGAGTAGCTCCGAGATGTCTACCTGGTGTGCAGTAATGAGATACCAGAGTGCTGCATTTTTAATATACTGTTAGGCTCTTTCACAACAGTGTTTTGACTTACCTCAGCCTGTGCAGTTAGTCTCAAGTAGAGCTCTCAAGCAACCAATTACAAAAATACCTAGTGTGGTTTCTCGGTGCCTGTTTAACGAGTGTTGTTAAACAAGGTAAAGTCCTGGAGATGAAGCTGGGCTCGCTCAAAAGTATTTTGCATTTTACATACTTACGCATAGTAAAGCATCTGAATTCTGTGTTTGGTGTTCAGTTTGGATCAGATAAACCTGTGACCCTTTTGCATGTACAATGAATCTAGGAGAAACTGGTTAGTAAATAGGTAGCTGTTGAGCTCAGACTATTTTGACTGCAGTACAAAAATGTAATAGGCCAAACTGGTTAGTTTTCAGAGGTTTTTACGGCTTATAGTTGTTTTCCATGTAGGCAAAGCTTCCTCTGTCTTTGAGCTCAAATCTGGCTGATCTCAGAGGGCATAAAATTGTAGGAAAGTCTGTCATTAAAGATGCTTTATCAGCTTCCAGAAACAGTTGACTTAAAGAAGCGAAGTTGGAGCAGAACCAACCTGCTTCTACTGTCAATCTTTCATGCCCCTCATAGCAAGTGTTAACAGAGGTGGTTGTTTCTGATAGTGCGCTTGTTCTATCACAAATGCAAGAAAAGCTTTCAAAGACAAGCTGCTCTTTTTTTTTCTTTTTTTTTTTTCTTTTTTTGCTAGACAAGTGTTTTTAAGTACAAGAACCACAGCCTTTTCTGGCTCTCAAAAAATGCTTGGAGCAGTAGGGATGCCATGTATAGTATCCTGAAGTAACTTAACACTGTATTTGCACTCTTCTTGTTGCTGGAATACCCTGGATTTAGTGCCAGTTTTTTGAAGGTACTGGGGCTGATGAGTGGATCACAATAGCTTACTTTGTCAGAACAGGAGGCTGAAGTCTGTCTGCTTTTAATGACTGTAATGTCGATTATGACTGCTTTCTGACTACTTTGGTCTATTTGCAACTTGAGATTCTCTTTGGTATCTGAGTATGTTCTGCTAATAGCTCACTGATTTAAATAAGCTTCGACTATGACAATTTACTGTACTTGCATTGGGGTTCATTGGGGGTCCCATGTATGCTTTTACTTGGTGAAAATCTTGAATCTGTGTGCTGTCAGGCCCTGGAACTTGTATTTAAAATTTTAAGTGTTCTCAGGGTGGGGAGGGGTATGTTAGCTGCTCATAAACCTCAAAGAAGTCTCCTACTTCTGGTCTTACTCTCACACTGCTAAGCCGAATGCAGGAAAGAGCTAGCATAGTGGTGTATTGAGCTTCTAAATAAGTGGTTCTTGGCTTTACCCTGGGGTAGTGAAAGGTAGGAGACCTTCCTGTCAACCCTTACTTCGTTTTCTCTGTTACAGTTTAAGAAAAGAACACCAGCTCTGTTAAAAAGAATTGATGAATAACACTTTGTGATTAGATATTAAGGAACTTATCAAATACTTGAACTTCTGTACTGGTTCTCTTTTGAGTAGAGGTATTAAACAGAATGAGCTTTGTCATGTTACAACAACTTCTTGAATGTCAGAAAAATCAAGTGCAGAAATTATATTTAACCTAGATATGAACATATGGCTAATTAACATCTTCAATCTGGCAGTTCTTCTAATCAGTGTGTTTCTTTATTCTGCTGTCATTTTAATGGACAATCACTAGACCTCTTGGGAGGAGAGGGTGAGTAGTATTTTTGATTTCTAAGGCATTTGAAAGTTAAGACTCCTTATTAAACGCTCCACCTTTCTGGAGTTGAGTCATTGTGGTCTCTCTCTCTCCTCCCCTTACCTATCCTGTTTGTTCTTTACATGGTTGCATATAGATAATCTGGCTGCACTTTCTGGTGTTACTCCTGAGCCACAGATTTCAGATCCATTTGCCCCAGAGCCTAGTGCAACTACTGCTGCAACAACTGATACTACAACTACTACAGCTGCTGCTGCTGCTGCTGCTGCTCCTACAGTTACAACTGTTCCTGCTCCCACTGCTGAAGTGGATCTCTTTGGAGGTTAGTTTGGTTGCTGTAGTGCTCTGTGCCAGCTCATAAGGTATATGAAGCAATATTAAGTTCAACTGTTGTAAGAAGGCCTCTGATTTAACCAATTATACCACAGGTATCTGTGTATTGGATGATAGGTAGAGTAGGAAATGTAAACTGTGCAGCTATCTCTGTTTGCTGTGCTTTTATACTTCTCTGTGTATGTGTGTATATATATACATATGGAAATGTAAAACAGTATACACTTAAAACTGAGTTTCATTATGGTTGAACAGCTAAGAACATTAGATTTCAGGTCCACAATGGGGTCAGCAGGTATTCTTTCCACATTATTCAATAATTATCCTAGAATTTCTGGGAAAAGCAGTTGTGCTTTCATAGTTGAAGAGGATGGATGTGGCAGCTTCCGGCCCCTTCTTTAGATGTCATGCTTGAGATGTCTTTTGTTTCTTTTGGATCTTTCCTGTAAATGTAGTACTGAGCCAGCTGAAATTACTATATTTCATTGTTCTTTCATCTGTGTTTTATTTCATATGACATTAATAGTAAATTAAAGTGGCAATGTACTGAAGGCCAACTATATACAACTAATGTATAGGAAATGTATTCTTATAGTTTAATTATGTTCTTTCAGTCTGTAGTGTTAGCTGATGACCTACTGAGTCAGATAAATTTCCCCCTATATGTTGTCAGTTTTCTTGTTACTTCAGTGGAGCAGGAAGCTTTTCAGTATCAGCCTGGGTTAATGGAGACTCATAGAATTGTCAGGGTTGGAAGGGACCTTAAAGATCATCTAGTTCCAACCCCCCCACTATAGGCAGGGACATCTCCCACCAGATCAGGCAAATCTTCTGATTTACAAATTATTAACATGTTTAAGGTCACCTAACCACTGTATTTTTCTAGTTTTCTCTTCCTCTGATGCATACTTTCAGCATGACAGTGTCAGGAATTGTTAATAACTCACTATCAAAACTGAATTCCAGTATGTTCTCTCCATGGGGTGTTGTTTATCTATTGCTTCTAGTGACACGAGTGCAGGAGAGGTCTCATACATCAAACAGTTTGACTACAAAGATGTTTCCTAAGGACTGGAAGTTCCCAGCTAGAAGTTTTATTTAGGACTGAGTTTAACAGACATCTCTAAGATACGCCTCCAGTAAAACTGCTGAGAAGCTGTAAGAAGGGAGTAGAACTGCCAACACCTCCTCTTACAAAGTTGGGTAATAGTTCTGATGCCACAGGATCAGGCAGTTCACGAGGACTTTAAAATTGCTTCTGGTTAATGGCTCTGGACACCACTACGAGCAAGAGAGAGTCTGATGTTACTCAGGAGCCTGTTGCAGAAGCCAAGGCCTGTGGTCAGGAACACCGCTGTGGATACACAGCGTGTGAAGCTGCTGGTGTGTAGAAACTGGGGTCGAGCCACTCTTGGATACAGTGCTTTCAAATTGCAGTATTAATTTAGCATGGATATAGGAGTCTTGAAAAAATGAAATGATAGCTAAATGGTTAGAAATCACTATAAACTTGCAACAGAATTAGAAAAACCACATACCTTAGCCTATTCTTCCAGTGCTACAGCAGCAAGACATACCCTTCTTTTTTTTCTATCCTTTCCACTATTATGTGCCTGGAAAAATGGCTGCTAACAAATCATATGTCTATTGCCATGTTTATGAAGTGACAAAGAGCTGGATGCTTTTGGTTTCTAGAGATGTAACTGATCGCTAGATTACTTAATGGCACATGTTAAGAAATGGAGTTGCCTTCGTCCTTCATTTTCTTTGCTTTTGCAGTATCCAGGCTTCTGTGACTTGATCTCTTCTTTTAAAGAGAGTGTATTTTGTTGCTGAAATACTATAAATCTCCAGTGGATTGTATATTGGATGAATACTGATTTTTTTTTTTCCTGGAACACTTCAGGATGAAGCAAAGTTTTGCTGTTTTTTTTAATTATTATTTACAGTAGCAGAAAACCTCTAGTTCTCAAGAAGAAAAAAAAACACTAAACACACTCAGCACTCTTGCAGTGCCTTTAAGATACCCAGGGGCCAGACCCTTTCAAGATTCTGGAGTCCATATTGAACTTCCATCTCACTACTCATGGGTTTGCTTCTTTTATTTGTTTTTCTTTTTTTTTTTTAATTTATTTTTTTTCTGAAGCCTGTGATTTAAGTCATGTCCCATACTAACATTCCTTGTTACTTTAAGACTGTGTACAGTGCAAGAAGTGGCAGTTCTAGGGCAGATACTGTTACTCTATAGCTTTGTGGTTCTAGGCATGTTACAGTTAATAAGTAGGTATTTTACCTCTAAGGTCTGCTAGAGATACAGTCTTCGAGTTCACCTTCATTTTTTGCAGCTCGACAGTTCTTGGTTGCTTTGCACAGTTTCTTGCAGTGAGGTGTGGTGGAGGAAGGTACAGGAGCAGTGATCTCAAGAGAAAATGTAAAGTCTGCAGGGAGTGACTTTCTTTACATAAAGGAAGCTGAAAGCTGCAAGAACTACTAAATTGATGGAAGAAGCAGAAGAGGAGACTTTGCAGGAGTGACTGTCAGCTGTTATTCTGCATTTTATTGCTGGCACTTTAGCTGATAGGAGCCTGCATGCTGCCGAGGACTGAGCTTTGTCTTTAGAGGAAAAGCAGCTCTGCATTTTGTTTTCATCTCTGAAATGGTCTTGGGAAGCAGATGAGAAATGCAGAATTGATCCAGCATAGCTTTTTTTTTTAAGAACTCAGTCTGATTAATGGGCAAGCTTTCAGTTACCTGGGCCAACTTGAAGAATTCCTTATCTTGTTTCTAAGATAAAAGAGAGGAGGCTGTTTTCAAAGTGCGTCTGGAATCATTCCCGAGAGAGAGAAATGTAAAGGTAGAAGAAAGGTGAAATATCTTGAAATGCCGTGTATCTCAATAACAGAATTTGGAAACAGCATTTTTGGATGTGAGTCCTTGAGTTATATTATGTTGTGTGATTACACTGTAAGCGGTGCAAGTAACAAGTCGTGGCAGCCACTGCACGAATGTCGATTGTTGGGTATTCAGATGACATCAGTCATAAGCGGGCAGGAGAACTATGGTTTTACCTTTAAAGGAACTGAAGGCAAAGTGATCAAGACTTTTTGGCACTTGAGGATTATTAACGTCCTTTATGATGGAACATGCTGGTATAGCAAACTAGGGCTCATTGTAAGAAACAAACAATTAAAATCCTGTAATTCTTATGATTCTTTCCTAGCACTGAGCCTAGTTGGAATATTTCTTGTTAACTCAGGTCAAGTTCTCCCTGTCAAAAAGTATTGAAGGGTGACTAGAAAAGAAGAAACTTTGGAAATATACAAAATTTCTTTTCACCTCCATGTTTTAGTTCTATGATCTTTCCTCTACTTGTGACTTTCCATAGGGTTGTTTCATATGTTACATAATAGATGAAATGGCTGTAAGTCAGACATATCATTGTCTGCAACTTTTGACATGTATTGATGCGATGGCATCAGATAAAACCTGAATTTATGAAATGAAGCAGGTCACTCTTCAGGAACACTTATTTTGCTGGAGATGAGATGTATCGAAGTACTACTTCAGTGTTTCAGAACTTTAAAATGCCCTTGTTTGCACGTTATTTCAATAAGAACTATTTTTATTCAACAATTTAAGTGTTACGCAGTACATAATACATACCTATCACTCCTAGCAGATGTTCCATGCAGTGTGAACTTGCAAAGCTTTCAGCAACATCTCGTTTAGTTGCCAGGCTGTCTATAAACCCAAGTGAGGATCATGTGCTGCTTGATTCTGGAAGTCAAAAGCTGGATTCACTTTTGAAGTAGAAGATGCACAAATATAAGGAAGTGGCACAAACTGAGTAAATGTAGTAACTGCTTTAAAGGGAGAAGATCTCTCACAGTGCTGGATGTGCAAGTCTAGGGTTACTATGCCAATATGGAGAAACAAAACCAAAATAAATAGTCCAGTCTTAATTATTTCTAAACCAAATATACTCAGTACTTAATAGTATCCATTTTTGCATTTCATGCTAGATTTTAGCAGAGGGCATCTGTGCAGGTGCAGCAGAGCTTTTTGAAAGGCTTCAAATAACTTGATGAGCATTGACTTAACCCTACAAAATAGCAAACACTTGGTTTGAACTGTGAGTTACAGGTTCACCTGTTCAAGCTGGTTTGTGTCTGCGCTCATATAGGTTTCTTGAACTTCTCAGAATAACTAATATTTGAAGTGCTTAATATGACATTTTTCTTTTAGCTTATATTATGAACTTTGGTATTTATCTCACCTACCCTTTAACCCAACAACCTTATTTAGAAGTGGCAATAAATAATAAACCTACTGCCAAGGTAGCTGTTTTCCTTACCTCTGTGGGCTGGAAAGGATTCGTACGTGCCAAAATTTCTATGGTTGGACAGGAATAGGTGTTACTCCGAGGCTGAAGTGGTCCTAACATAGAACTAGTGACTAAATCTGTGCCTTCTGAAATCCCACTTTGTATGAAATCTGTGGAGTCTATCCTTCCATACTGGGAAATAATTATGAGTTCTGGTGACTGACATCTGTGCTGTTGACTTTCAAACTTGTGTGGATGGAAATGTGCTCTTTTGAAAGAGCCCAGGGTGACCCTCCATCGGAAAGCAGACCCTGTAGAGCTAAACCCAACACACATAACTATACACTTACGTATTCTCAAGTAGTACAATTTAAAACTCTTCAGTCCAGCTCTGTGTTGAATTTCTTCTACATGTGGTATGCCAGTGTCTGGTATACATACGTACAACACTGTGATATTTGACTAACAATGATTTTTTTTTTACTTGGACAACTGCCATCCAGTTTTGTTGTTGAACCCTCTTACCTGAAAAAATAGAATTGTATTTGAAATGGCTTATTAGCAGGCCTTTTTTTTTTTTTTTGCTACTAACTCATTTTAATTCTATTGTACAAGACTAGTTGGCTTTAGTCTCTTATGTTGAAGTTTCAATGCATGTTTTTCTGAGCTTTTTAGATTAACTGGCACAAACTTGTTTTTAAAATGGTTGTTTACATTTTAAAATTGACACTCAAGTTAAAGCATGTTAAGCTTTTTCCTGTAGTAGTTTGACAGTGCGATTGCAGTATTCCTCAACAGATTTTTTTTTTAGCTTGCTAACTTTGTAGCAGTAGAAAAATAGCCTTTATGAGCATCTTGAAGTATAGAATCTTAATTGCACAGTCTTTTTGTGAAGAAAATGCTTGCCTCTGAGGGTAGTCCAAATGGCACTGTCCATTAGGCCTACTTCATGGAATTAAGAGCTACAGATGGTGGTTTAAGCCTAGGAATAATGCTGTGAAAGTTCAGAGGTTGAAATTTAAAAGATACCACTTAACAAGTGGCAAACAAAACAAACAAAATAAAAAAACCACAACTGTCAAAACTCAAGAGCAAGTCATTCCAAAACCCCAAAACAGTTGTTTTCCCTGACTGGACTTGTTGGCCTAAAGGTGTTCTTAAAAGAATGAGAAATTATGGCTGGCCACTAGTTAACATGAACGTTATTGATGTGTCAGAAGCAAGCTGAGTAAATATAACCTATGCATCAGGTTATGGCTTCAGAAAGATCCATTTGGAATACTGTTAAGAAACAAGTAAGTTCAATTTCTCAGATGTTGCATGACTGACTTGGCTCAAAAACTAGAAATGGTAGAGGCAGATCTCTGCCAAAATAATTGGATTGTTATTCATTACAGTGCTTAAGTTTGCAAAGCACTATGCAAGTAAATTCACAGTTGCAGATTAACCACATGTATTACAGGCTTTGAGCATGCAAGTTCTTAGTATTTATTAACACCAGTATTTATTACTGCCATACCTCTGCTCTTTCTTCATTAGTTAATTTTGGGTAGTATATGAGCATGCTGCTCTGAACCCTTATACAATGAGAATAAAGCTGCCTTTTACACTCACTATACTTCCTGCGGCCACCTCAAGAAGCTCCATCTTCAAACCCGTCTAGAACTTGCTCGTGTGGGGTTGGGGGACAGACAAAGCGTTTTGCGCTGCATGGCTTGTCTTGCTGTCAGAGTAACGACACTCATGTTGTATAAGGGGACCTACCTGTGCAATTTAACTTGGTTCTTTTACTGTATTTTTCTTCTCTTTATCCTTTTTCCTTTTAATTTCTGTTCTTAAACTGCACCCAAGATGCCTTTGCAGCTTCTCCTGGGGAAGCCCCTGCAGCAGCTGAAGGGGCAGCAGCACCAGCTACCCCAACCCCTGTAGCAGCAGCTCTTGATGCATGTTCAGGAAATGGTGGGTTTTATGTCATGAGACAGTCTCTTGTTTTGCTGTTTTGTTCTCGGTTGTTTTTTTGTTGTTGTTGTTTAAACTACATGGCAGTGTGTTTTTTCTGAAATTTTCATAGTATTTGCAATTGGTCAAAACAAACCTTAGACTGAAGAGCATGTATAACAAAACTGCCTGTTTCAAAGTCCCAGTAACCTTGTGCTTATTTGCTAGTGCTAATAAATGATTCTGTCAGTGCTGAGGTTTGTAAGCAGTAACCTGCTAAACTGGATATTCTTTTATCATATTTCTGTCCTTTTTTTGGCCTTATCAAACAGCCCTTGAAAGTTCTGCCCTTTAGTAACTAGACTACTCAGCCTTTCAGATGGTCTTTATTTTGGAAAAACATACGTAACATGTCTGGATAAGTAAGCTAGACGTTAGTGACCTCCTCCGTGTGCGTGTGTGTATTTGCAGTATGTGCATTGCCTGTAGTTGCTTTGTTTCTGACTTCCTCCCTCACCGATCCGAAGTATGCATACACATATATTTCCCCTCTCCTTTTTACAAGACCCCTTTGCCCCATCCGAAGGTAGTGCAGAGGCTGCTCCTGAGCTGGACCTCTTTGCTATGAAGCCAACAGAGACTGCTGTTCCTGTAGTTACCCCTACAACTAGTGCAGCCACTCCAGTTCCTGCAACAACTCCTTCTCCAGCTGCTGCTGTTGCTGCTGCTGCTACTGCTACTACAGCTACTGCCACTACCACTACTGCCACCACTTCTGCTACCGCCACCACCTCCGCTCCTCCTGCTCTAGATATCTTTGGTGGTAATTTTGTTTTTAACTCTTTGATTCTGGTGGATTGATCTGTTAGGAGTACAGAACAAACAAATCATTGTTGCATGCATTCTGTGTGCTAGGCTTTCAAACCAGAGAGCCTATTAACTCCAGACATGATGTACAAAACTTGAAAGTTCTGCTTTCAGTCCTGCCTTTCAAAAATGAGTTAAAGACGTGTTATGTTCTTGGCCTTAGATTTATTTGAGTCTGTTCCTGAGGCACCTGCAGCACCTAAACCAGATGCTACTCCTAGCATAGATCTCTTTGGTACAGGTAAAGAGAGAATTCTTCCAATACTCTGCTGCCTTGATGCTGTGCAATGATGGAAACTGGCTTGAGTGATGCTTACTTCTCTTTGGTTTTTCTTTCATTTCTGGAAGATACTTTTTCATCTCCACCACCCGGAGCTTCTCCTGTGCCTGAGAGTTCTCTCGCTGCTGATCTCTTATCTGGTGAGTGCTTATTTTCACAGGCCATCCTGCAGACTTCCTGGGTTTGTGGGGGATTTTTTTGTTTGTTTGTTTTTCCTTCAAGAACTAGAAAATAATAATAATAATTAATATATGGTTAGTCTGAAATACTAAGTTTTGGGTATGACACTTTGGTCACAAAGATCTGCAGTTGCTGAAGTTGCAAACCGTGAAGTGGCTGATGCTGATGTTGAATGAGTAGTGTGGTTGTTTAGAGAGTAAATCCTCCTCTAAGCATAAGAAAATTCATAAATAGCGATGCTTTCTTTAAAGTACTGTGGTTTTCAGTTGCTCTGTGAGAAATGTAACACTTTGTGTTTGCAGTTCTGAAGACTGTTACCTGAATTTACCAACCCTGTTGTTCTAACTGGTGGAGCCCATGTGGCTTTGAAATATTTAGCTATCATTGTTGCCTTGCTGATACTAAATATGATTTATCCTATGCTTACTGCAGTGGATGCATTTGCAGCCCCCTCTCCTCTACCCACTGCCTCTCCAGCAAAGGTGGATTCTTCAGGTGTGATTGACCTATTTGGTGGTGGGTATTGTTCTTTCCTCACCACTTCAGAGCTGAATCACTTCATTTCAGTTACCTTTGCACTTTGCTAAAGCCGCAGGTTTCCCCTTCTCACAGTTTTTCTGTGTAGCATTATGGTGAAGACTAGCATGTCCCTTTCTTCGTGTTGCACAATAACGAACTGCAAATAAGCCTTCAGTGTCCTCATTCTGTTGTCATGACACTTGCTATTCTGTCTTCAGTCAATGCATGTATGGCTCTTCTGCAGAAGTCTGATCGAAGTAATTTGTGTTCTTTCTCTCTTTTTTGCAACTCTCCACGGTCATGTTGTTTTCTCTTGGTTCCGTTTCTCAAAGCAGCTGAAGTTTTGAGGGTGACTTATCTTGGACTGGGTATCTGAATCACAGGATCGTTGTTGGATTTTACAAGGTGGAAATAAGGTTGGGCACAACCGACTCTTAGGAGCGTTGTAGAAAAAGAACGTTGCTTAGAAGTAGAGGATTTTTTTTACTCCTCTAAATAGTCTTAATGTGAGTAACAGGTTCTGGCCTGAATTACTCCAAACTCTCATCCAGTGCATTCTTCTACAAAGTGCTTAACCCTCTCATTTAGAATGCTGTGGTTTGCATGGGTTTTCTGAGGAGAGGCCCAAGAGGCTGCCCAGGGAGGTTGTGGAGTCTCCTTCTTTGGAGACATTCAAAACTCGCCTGGACACGTTCCTGTGTGACCTACTGTAGGTGATCCTGCTCTGGCAAGGGGGCTGGACTAGATGATCTTTTGAGGTCCCTTCCAACCCCTAATGTTCTGTGATTCTGTAAAAGAAAAGAGATTTGTTTCAAGTGCTGGTTTGCTGCACCTCCTTTTTTCCACCTAAACTTTGGGTCCGTGGTACTGCTCTGCAGTAAAGATGGCCAAACACTGTCACTTTCTTCTTCTGATGAATGAAGTGATTATCCTTTTGTGATCTTTTGTTTAAAATAAGTGGTGAATCGATGCACCTAATGTTGAACTCTGCCTTTCTTGATGCTTTCTGGAATTCCCTTTAGATGCTTTTGGAAGTAGTGCTTCTGAACCCCAGACCGCAACCCAGGCTGCTTCTAGTTCCTCAGCTTCTGCAGATCTACTTGCTGGTAATAAAGAACTTCTAAAAACTTGTTATTTTAATGCAAATCTAAGAAATTATCTTTGAAATTTTTGGTGTTCCTTGGGTGCAAGTGGACTTTTGTAGTGGAATAAAATTCTTGTTAACAAGATTTCTTACTACTTTAGACGCCTTAACGCTACAGTGATGTACAATGGAGGTACTACACTGACGTTCAAGTTAACTTCATAAATAATCTTCTACCCATACTCTTCCTTTTCCTACCTCCTACACAAGCCTTATTTTTCTGTACTGTTCACTGAGTAGGAGTGTATACATAAAGTTTCTTTGGCTGACTGTCACGGTATTTCAGCAGTATTGTAGGCTCTACTGCTTGTTCCTTACTGCTAAATCATCTCCATTTGTTAGTTGATTTAATTAAGGCAGATTACACACTTAAATGTTAGGAACTTGAATGAGTGACTTGGTAGCAGTCTTGGATTTGACCAAGGAGAGTGGGGTAATGAGTGCGAGTTTTTCTGAGCACAAGGGCCTAGGAGTGATAGAGACCTTCTCCTTACACTGGGCGAGATGAGGTCTATGCTGATGCCGAGTGTGGCAACTCTGTCACACCCTATTTCAAGGGCTGAATAACTGTATCATTGTAGTCTGCATCCTACAGGTAAGCAGCTTCAGCTGAATTCTGTTTGTACCATTCTCTAAAAGTCATGCCATACCATGTATTTTAGTGGCTATAGTGATTGTGCTAAATGGTTGTGATTCTTCCCCAGCCCAATTTGAAGAGAACAAGATCCCAGCCTGTCTTCCTCAGGCTTGGAGGAAACTCTTGCACTTCTAGTTTGAGGAAGCATTGGCTTAGTTTCCCCCATGTTTCTGAAAGGTGAATTTGTTAGTAGAATCAGTTGGTTGGTTATCCTTCATGAATTGTTAGCTTCGTGTTGTAGCTTTAGTTCTGAGCTGGAGTGACAATCTGCCCTTTATGCAACTACTAGCCACTAGGTATGGTGGGCCCTGATGTCAGCTGGTGTCTATATATCTGAAAGTCTCTTATGTCAATTTACACTGTATCAGGAGCCTAACCTTATATGTCTTGCCTTTTAAATGCTCATGAGAGGTCCTCCATTGCAGGAGGAGTATATAGTATGACATAGACATATCAGTATGTAGTCTACTCTAAATGCTGGGAGTTGGTACACGTGGCTGCTTGCATGCTGAAGCCATCTCAGAAGAGGACACCTTTTCTAGTACCTCCTCTAAGTGCGGGCATCATCTGAGAGTACTGCAGGAAGGTAGAAGTAGTCTATACACATCTGTTCTCAGTCGGTTCCCGTGCTGGCAAACCAGCTACCTAAAGTGGGACATAAATGTCTAAATGCATGCTAAAGCTTTAGTACAGGTCTCTTTGGGATTTTAAGGTAGAAGACCACCTTTTGTTTTAATATTACTTCAGTAGGCCTTTGTATTAGTCTATGGACAGCTTAAGACCCGAGATCAGGCTTTAACTAGTAGATTCTCAAACATACCAGTCATTTGCAGTTGTGTGTGTTACCAGGAGCTGCGTGCAAAGATGTTGTTGAGCAGAAGCTAATTCTGCTTATGCAAACATTACAATACAAAATGTTTTATGTCCTTAATCTGTAACTAAGCCTAAATTCCTGTAGGAATTATGCTCCAGATGGCTTTAACTTCAGCAGTGTGTTCTGTGAATCTGATGAGTCACATTAAATCAAAACCTAGACTATAAAAGGGATGTTAAAAGTCTAAATAAGCAGAACTGAAGCAGTTGGAGCAAATAGATGTTGGGGTTTTTTTAAATTTTATTTTTGCTTTGAAGATACATTCAAAAGTTGTCCAAGCAGATTTGAATCTTTTTGGGGGGCAGATATAGAGAGTCTGTAAACATCATAGCATATTGCTAAGCATTTGTTCACCCTGGATAATGGCAGATGTATAGCCTGCAGTGTAATCCAGTTTTGAATTTTAGAGTGTCCAGAGTTCATACGGTGTCTGAAGGCTTGTCCTTCATGGTTTGTGAGTATTTATGCATAATGTTATGAATATATGTACTATGCATCATTGTCTTAAGTGTTCTGCTGTCAAATAAGTTTCAGTCTCTTCTTGGCTCACTTAGGAAATATGGTAGATGTTTTTCATGCTCTTGTAAGCCTCTCAGCAGACAAGACAGAAACTATACTGATAAAAGCAATAGTCTAGCCGTTTTCCCTTCTAGATGTTTCTGTACAATTAAATTGTGTGCATGCATACTCTAATAGCATGTTGTTTTAAGAAATCTTACTTGAATGTGTAAGTAAAAGCAACCTTCAAAATAGGGTAGTTGGATGTATCTGGACAGTGCATCAAACTCAGTTGCTGCTGTTTCTGCAGACAGACTCTGGGTCTTGTACAAACCTGCGACAGCTAGGAACTTAATCTGTTAAAGTATTTTTATGGCTTCTCTGCCTGATGCTGCTGTTAAATTGCGCAAGGCTAAAAGCTATGGCATTAGAACTGATGGTCATGCAAACCTGAAGCTGGGGAGAACTCTCACTTGTAGTTGGAGAAACACACATTTTGTGGGGCCTTGCAAAGCTTCTAAATCTTAGAAGATTAAAATTATATATAGAATTATATATAAACTAAAACTTTCTAGGATCTTATAAATGGATACTGAGTCATGCTGTGCTGCCAAGCTCCTTGTTCTCACTCAGGAAATGGAAAGGATCTAACTAAGTGTAGGATCTTTAGATGGCTCCAATGGTTTAGACACTCAGCTGCCTTTACTTAAGACAGCAAAACGGAGGCTGCTCTGTTTTTCTGCTTCTGCTTCCCTGGCTCCAGCCAGTGCCCTTGGTTGGTAGCATCTGAAGAGACCAGTTTAAGTCACGATCTGTGTGTTTTCAGTCATTGCTTGCAATCTGGCAAGCATAAACTGAAGAACATAATTTTATGAGGTGTTTCCAATCAGGTTGTGTTCTTCTGGGCCTGTAGTGCCTAGTCAGGTTTGCTGTCTTCTCCCAGCTGTGTCTGGGGCCAAATATATTTGTTCACACAGGCCAGACATTCCACAGCCATAGCCTGTCTGCTGGTGCTACAGCGGGTTGCTACCCTCATGCCCAAGACCCAGTGTTGACACATCACTCGTTTCTCTACTGAGGGATTTAGTCTGAGTACAGTTAGCTACTAGCTGACTTCTCTTCCAAAATATGGACCTAATGTGTAAATAAGTCTGATGATTGCATCAGGTGTGTGTGTATCAACTCCTTATTCTCTCAATTTTCGTTAAATATTTGGTGTTTACTCTTACTTTGTTCTCTGAGAAAGCAAAGTTTATGGGGAAAACATCTGCGATATGACAGTAACATTGGGTATAATTGATGCTCACAATGTGAGTACAAGTTATTCATGTTGAGCTCTAGCCTGTCTTCCTTTTCTCAAGTTAGTCCTCAGTTTCTCTTTTTTCTGAACTGATTCTTGTTTGTTACATTCTGTTTGTGAGATTACTTACCTGAAATGAGAGTGTGTAACGCTGAAAGACTTGTGTTCTCTACTCCATTGGTCTCCCTCTGCAGAAATCTAAATAACAAACATGTACGTTTTTATCGGCGACTCTTACAAAGTCGTAAATCCTGTGGGTCGTACCTGGGGAACTACACAAGGATGCTTGTGTAATACTGAGTTATTTACAATGATTCAGTAAGAATTGTCTCTATCATTCTACTTTCTGTAGATTGAGCCTTTGTTAAACACAGCCCAACAAGACTGACTAATGTCCACACCTCTCTTATGTGGCTTTTTCAAGGCTTTGGAGGTTCTTTTATTTCTCCCTCTCCATCACCGTCCCCAGTCACTCCAGCTCAAACCAACTTACTACAGCCTAACTTTGATGCAGCTTTTGGGACGACAGCTGTGACAACTACCAGCTCATTTGATGCATCAGGTGAGCCATGGTGTTTCTTCCTGCAAATTTCCTTTTGTGTTTTATGTCCTAGATGAGTTAACGACACCATGTTTAGGCTCTGAGTACAAGCAGTATCAGTGATCTCCCTGTTGCTTCTCTACTGGAAGAACTCAGGGTGGTGTTTAGGCCTGTGTGCCCAAGAGCTCTCTGTACCCTTTTTTATTCTACCGTGTCAATAAAAAACAAACTAGTGTGAACATCATCCTTGCATGTGCTAGATGGCATGAATCAGGAATTATGGAAGGAAGACAGATCTGTAAATCAAGTATGTAGGCAAGTCGTTTTGCTGCTGCTGCCAAAGCTGTTCTTAAGCTTGCATGGCTCCTGAAGGTACACAAAAACAGAGACTGAGGTTGTGTTCTTTGCCTGACTATAAGCTTAAACTTTCATCACTGCTATCATTTTGTTTGTATCTCTTCCATTCTATATTTTCCATGCTGGGTCCTTGCTACAAACTTAAAATTGGTGAGTTCTGCAACTGTACAAGAAAAAAAAGCTGAAGTAGTACTGCTGCTTGGTGATTTGGTTGCTTGCCGGTGCACATGCTGCCCCTTCTGTTGACTTAACATTAGCATGTACCTCCAATACAGATCAGAAGACAGAGTGTTGGCATGAAATGTACCAGGTGGTTTGACTTCGAGTAGTCTTAATCAACAACAAAAAAATCAACTTTTCAGTTAGATAATTGAACCAAGGAGGCTAGCTCTGTCAGTGTGGATGGTTCTGGTTCCTTCTGATCTCATAAGATGTTAGTAGGTTTTCCCAATTCCCTGCTGCGTGCAAGTGAATAGTTACATCTTGAGACTTTCAGACCTGTTGCTCTAAGATGTCAAGGTATAAGACTGCCTTTGCCACAGTAATTCTGACTGGTATTTGCTGCAAGATGTTCATTTTTAAATCCTTTAAATGAATATCTCCTGACAAATGTATGTGCTTCTAACATCTCTCTAAGGACGGCTGTAAGAAAAATAGTGTAATGTGGAAGTGATGCTGTGTCTCTGTAGATTCGACTTTCCAATTAAAGTCCTTTTAGGCATGTCCTTTCATACTGGTTCCCATTGGTATAGCTCTTTCAGGATTACTGTACATTCAGTGCCTAGTAAAATGACATGCATGCCCTTGTTGGCATTACTTTTAATGTCAAACGATGTTTTGGTAGGACTTGTGACGTGATTGTCTGTGCTGTATTTGTTGAAGCGACCATAAAGTGGCAGGGATTGTTTTTCTTAACACAACTGCTGTTCTAACCCACTTTCTTTCTATTTGCAGTGTTTGATGGCTTAGGTGATCTTCTTATGCCAACTATGGTTCCTTCTGGTCAGTCTGTAGCACCTTCAGCTGCAGCAACAGTCACTGCTTCAGCAGCAAGCAAAGGCCTTGGAAGTGATCTTGATTCGTCTCTTGCAAACTTAGTAGGCAGTAAGTGATAAATTTTCGTTTTAAGTGGTGTGGCATACAACTATGTTACTTAGCTTGCTTCAGTGTCCTTGTGTTTCCCTGGGGAGCTACAGGCAGGATTAAGGGCCGAATTCAGATAGCCAGTAGTCTGGATTTGTAACTTGTCCATGTCACGTGATGGGATCTGTTTGCTGGGTGTGATGTGTAACCTGTGACCATCCCAGGTATATTCAGGGACACCTCAGGCTCTTCATGAATGTTGCCCCTGTGTAATGTGAAGGTGAAAATTGTCCATAGCATCTGATAGCAGTGTGGAATTAAAGCAGTAAAGCTGGTGGACACAAATAGCTGACTTCTTGCCTGATGAGAGAGGAGTAGCAGTGGTGTGAGGAGTCCAGCAACAGCCAAGAACAGACCTTCTCTGACAGTGAACTTTCCAAAACATGGTCTTGAAATGCTAAATGAAAAAAATATTCTCTTTCCTGTAGTAGTAAAAGGCTTAGAGCCTTTATAACTAGAGATCAGTAGCCACAGACCCCTCCCAAACCTAATAGAAGCTCACCTAGGCTAAGGTGCAGAACCTGTACTGTGAGAACAGTATTCTATAAGGAATTCCATGTATGGTAGAACAGATAAAACAGTGCAAAACTTCCAGGTGACATTCAAATTTATATATATGTGAAAAATAACTTTTTATTTTCATATGTATAATGAGGAACAGAAACTAGTGTTGTTATTCCTAGACTCATAGAATCGTTAAAGTTGGAAAAGGCCTCTAAGATCATGAAGTCCAGCCATCACCCCAATACTACCATGACTACTAAACTATATCCTGAAGTGCCATGCCTACATGTTTTTTGAACACCTCCAGGGATGGTGACTCCACAACTTCCCTGAGCAGCCTGTTCCAATGCCTCACCACTTTTTCAGTAAAGAAATCTTTCTGAATATCCAGTCTAAACCTCCCCTGGTGCAGCTTGAGCCCATTTCTTCTCGCCCTATTGTTAGTAACTTGGGAGAAGAGACCAACACTCACCTCACTACAACCTCCTTTTAGGTAGTTGTAGAGAGCAGCCTCCTCTTCTCCAGACCAATCAATCCTAATTCCCTCAGCTGCTCCACGTAAGACATGCTCTCTAGACCTTTCATCAGCTTTGTCGCACTGCTGGCTCATGTTCAGCCGGCTGTCCACCAGCGTGCCCAGGTCCTTTTCTGCCAGGCAGCTTTCCAGCCACTGTCCCCCAAGCCTGTAGTGCTGCCTGGGGTTGTTGTGACCTGGTAAATAGTTAGGTGCTCTTAAATACTTAGTGTTTTGTAGACCTAAATATACTGTTACTTTGATGTGTTTATTTTGCAAAAATAACTTACTCAAGGATGAAACATCTGCAGGCTTCTTCAAAAGTTTGTCCTGAAGAAGGGGTAGATGTGGCCAGTCCTCTGATGCTAAGACAGAATTTCATTACTTTGTATAAGCCCATGTGTAATGAAATGTGAGTTTTTGCTTTGACATGCTTTAATTTACTAAACACAAAACTTCCTTTTTTTTTCTGTCTTTTAATTTCTTTTTGTTTCATTTTTTTTCCTTTGTCTTAAATTTTCAGATCTTGGAATTTCTGGTACCACTTCAAAAAAGTGAGTTCAACTTTGTTTAAAAAGAAAACAAAAAAACCAACAAGTTTCAACTGTGCTGTATGATCTTAAATCTATTTCAGTGTTTATTAAGAATCAATAAATTGGTTGTGTTCCCTCTCCACCCCAAAAAAATCAGTTCAGAAAAATTTTGGAAAAAAGTATTGTATTCTATGCAGGTTCACTGAATAATTAAGGTTAAATGTTCCTGACATAACTTTTAATCTGAGTCTCAGTATTTTTTTTCTGGAAATTGCTGTCTTCATATTGGATAGCCAATTTCCAAATGGCTTAAAATGAACAAATAGTCCAGATAATAAATTATATAACTCCCCTCAGTAATTTAGCCTAATATGTAATGGTTTTGTTATCTTTTTATAGACGCTGGATGTGCTTATCCTGTAGACATTGGAATACTTGTAAAATAGAAAAGAAGTTCATTCCATGCAGTGAAAAGCTGCTTTTAGCAAGAAGAAATATTTATGGCATTGCATTTATTTTTGAATGTGTCTTCTTGATCTAACTGATCAGTAAAGTTCTGTGCTGAGTCTTCTTCTGTATGCAAGACCAGTTTGATATGCGTACTTCAAAATGTTTTGTGCCTCTATGGAGATGATAGGAAGGATGTTCATAAACACATCATGATATCCCCAAAACTTAGCTTCCTTCATTCTACTTCATTCAAGTGATGTATCTTGTGGATAGAGCGCCCTCTAAGAAAACCTAGTTTTGCAACAGCCCTTTTATTCTATGAATGATTTGTTTCTCTTGTATCTATCAACTTTTTTCAGAACTGAATGCTTTCCTCCTTCATCTGTCTGAGCAAGATTTCCAGCAATGAAATGACCTTTCAAAGACTTCTAACAGGCAGCTCTACTGCCTGGGCCCAGTAGAATAGGCAGTAGCAGTCCCTCTTCCTACTTTGCAAGGGTATATGCAATAATATGTTACCTTTGGTCAATACTAAGTAAAACTTCTCTTTAATTCTCACTACAAAGGCCATAACCGTGTAACTGACTTCAGTACAGAGTGTATGGGTGTCTGCTGCTAACAACCCTTGAAACTATGTGGCGCTAAAAGTGCATCTTTCTGTTAATAACTTAAACTGCATACACCATAAACTAATGTAGCTGCAAGCCTAATTTTAATGTATACTGCAACTGGTTTTTGTTTGCCCTGTGAGGGTGTATAAGTAATAGCTCTGTCTCTCTCCCTCTCTATTAGGGGGGACCTTCAGTGGAATGCTGGAGAGAAGAAGTTAACAGGAGGAGCGAACTGGCAGCCAAAAGTAGCACCTGCAACGTGGTCAACTGGTGGTGTCCCAAGTGGTCCAATGGTAGGTGGTTAATCCGTCAACACCACTAGTGTTGAAACCTTAATATTTCTATGAGACTACAGAGGCATACGTGTAGGCACTGCTCCTGTCTACTTCAGCTAAAGCGTTCGCTTCTGTGTAAATGATATTATTGTTTCACATCACATTTTTCAGACCAGATTTACAGCTCACATAGATAAAATCATTGAGTTCAGGTCAAATACACTAGTGCATGTATCAAGATGTTACTCTGCATGTACACTTAATACCTGTGGACAGTTCCAAGTGTGTCATTGGCCATCTAGGTCTTACCAGCACCAGGCCCAGGTCAATTGCCTGAGAGATAACAGTGTTGATCCAGAGCTGAAGTGCTGGAACAAGAGAAAGTAAATAGCTTTTTCTCAAGCTTTCCTGAATGAAGTAGATCAAAGGATGACACAATATTCATAATGATCAGGTGGTAGATTAGAAGTGGGTATCTTGTTTAGCTGAGTAAAGGAGTCTGTTGGAAAAGCTAAGGTTGCCCTGTAGTGTGTAGCATTGAATTGAGCTAAATATCTGAATCTGGCACAAGAGCCACTCAGTCGTGAGTAAGATACAGGAGTAATCTGAAGAGGTGTCATGCCTCATCTCATCAAAATTGCAGCAGTATAAAACAGCTTCCTATTGAAAAAAGTTGGGTTGGGAAGAAAGGACGGTCAAGGAGGAGCACGACCAGTTCAGTTCCCTGCTGCCACTACCAGGTGTTAATGTGACTCTAAGCATGTTCCAGCTTATTCTTTAACCTTATGGAAGATACAAGAATTCCTTGAGCTCGATACTTCATTGAAAGTATTAGTTGTAACATCAACTTTTTTTCTTAATAGAAAGGCTGGGCAATACTGTACAGTGTAAGTGATTTTTATTTTTTTTTAATCTTTTACTGTACTTACTTACTAAACACAAAGATACTAACACCACCTCACTGACACTACAGTTATTACCGCGGTCTTAGAACTAGCTAGAAGCTACCTAACATGGCTCTTATTGGACTGTCTGTCCAGCAGACAGTTCTCAGGCAACTTTTGAGTATTGTAGTAGCGATTAACCATTTCTGTGCTGTAAGCTTGACAGTGATGGCTTCAGACTGTCTTGGCTTTATGTGGATACAAGCTATCTGATGATTTGCACTACCTGAAATTTCTGACTTCGGTAACGTTGGCCCAATCTTGTAGTGGTTTTACCATCTGATAAGTAACAAGCTTTTCAGGAAAGCTGGGTGGTTTTGATAGCATATCATGAAACATGGGTCCTATATATATTTCTTTAAAATCATGCAGTTGGGTTTTTTTTAAACCAAAGAAAACCAGATCTGCACAAAGAATGAATATGGAGAAGCTTTCCTTCACATCACTGTTGAACCACTTAATTTTTGGTCATGTTTTCTCCTTTCCTTGTGACCTTTTCTGGATTAAAATCAGCAGAATTTCGTAAACCTCTATTTCCTTGAGTAACCTGAGTACTTTGAGGCAAAATCAGATTCCATTTGTGTGGCTATTTTCTTGACATCTGCCTAACTGGATTTTGAGCTACAACGTGTTGCTGTGGCTGCAGTGAGATTATTGCATCTGATGTAATTTAATCTGTGTCTTTCTATTCCTTGCTTTCCGTATCCGAGTGTCCAAATGCTGGTTTTAGTTTGGGGACAGCTGTGCTGCTAGCACACTGAGCTTTTAATTGAAGAGCTTCCCAGAAAACTTTCAGACTAGAAAAAAGGTTTATAATGATTAGCTAGAAACTGTAGGGTATTTGCTGATTAATGAATCTAGAACATGTTATCTTGACTTGTCTCCAGTTTCCTAAGAAAAGGAAGCAAGGATTAACCTAGGGTACTAAATGCAACATTCACAGGGGTGGACTGTGCAGTGAGTAATTCCAACATACCTCCAGGGACGCACTGTCCTTTGAACTAAAAGTGTGCTAGCTGCTCTCCTAGTGTGATGGGATATAACTTATCAAGTGGTTAAGTGGTAAGGATGTGGAAGCTCGGACGTGACCCGACAGCTTCTGTAATAACTTGAGAAATTGTGTGAGTATACTTAGGCCGTATGATAGCAGTAATGAGGTTCCTAAAAATTCTACTGTAATTTTAAAATCCCTTCCTTGAATGCTTCCTATGTCTTTCTGGAGTTGTTAATAATCTGGATTGTATATGCTCCTGTGAAAAGGAGAGATTTGAACGCTTTCAAGGCTATAAGGAGGCTCTGTGCATGGAAGTTACAGACATGGGAGCTAAAAGCGTTGATGTTTAGGTTCTGCTGGTTAAGAGGAGTGGCCTTGTTCAGAGGTGCTGTTGTGCTGTATATCCAGTGAGACTACTAAATGAACAGTTCTCTCTTCCTGAATCCTAGTGAAAGATCACATTTTCTTTTCTTCCTTGCATTATTTGAATGAAAACCATAACAACTGAATGAATGAAAAACATAACAAGATAAACTAAACTCTCCTTAGAGTATGCAGTAGTTGTGATTGTAGCTTAGGTATGTGAACTTACTCTTACTTGAATGAATCTGACTGCATCAAAAATACTATTTTTTAATTATGGCAGTTATTTCCCTTAGCTTTGCAATCTGCTTAAACCTTTACTAAAATATAGTGCTACAAGAAGTGCTATACTGTGTTGTCTGTTGGTTATAAAATTGGGATGCTTTCTTACACTGTGTAGGAGAAGGAGGAAAGTACATCTTTGCTTGGACCTGTTTTGAGTTCAGTAAATGGACTCCATTCATGAAGAGAATGGAGCCTGTAAACCTTCCTTTCTTAGGAAGAAGCAAGCTGAGCATCAATGTAGGAAATTTTTCAGCTCTCTCATTCTTTGAAGTGTTGTGGGTTTGAGGTTAGGTATTACCTGCTACGTAACAGTCCTACTTTCTGGAACAATTTGACAATGCTGGAAACTCTCTGCAGTTTCCAGATAGCTGGTGTTACTGAGATTCTTGCATTTGTAAATTTATTTTTGTTAAAAAAATGTTTAGACAGGAGCTGTGCCTCCAGCGAGTGCTGTTCCTGCTGCAGGAGGTACTCCACCTGTCCCACAGCCAGGAGCAGCATTTGGGATGGTGAGTCTCTTTTGTTAAGCTGCTCTCCTTTCTCCATCCTGAACTCTGCTCACACGATGTTAATTTTGCAGCCCCCAGCAGGCACAGGCGTACCCATGATGCCCCAGCAGCCAGTTATGTATGGGCAACCCATGATGAGGCCACCATTTGGAGCTGCCACTGGCCCCGGTGTACAGGTAGACTAATGTTTAATTGCTCTCCATTTCTCTAGAAAGTAGCTTGTGTGTATGCATTGTCTCAGTTCAATTCTAGCTGTGGGTCTGTAAATAAGATTTCTTACAGTATCGGATGCCTGACTTGCAACAGATCACATGAACCACTTGATTTTTATTTATTTTATTTTCAATTCCCTTCTATGAGACTAGTGGAACAGGTTTGAAAAAGTCCCCTACAGCTAACTACATCAAAGATCTATTTGGGGGGAATGTTGGAGTAAAGCTCAAAGCAGAGCTGATGGGCATTCCTATTTTTTTCAGAGCTTGTCAAAATTTACTAGAGCTGAACATAGCATGTTCCCTCCCAGCCCACCTAGGCATTGCTCAGAACACTGGTCTTCTGCTTATGAACAAGCTAAGGTCTCCAGTTCTTGGATGACAGCTGTCTCTCAGTAAATACAACTTCATCTGTTCCAGGCTAGTAGCTTGCTGGGTTTCTATAGTGCAAAACAACTGCAGTCAAGTATGAATTACCATAGTGCGTGTAACATCAGTCTGCAGGATGCACACTTTTTACAGCAATGCACAAATTTAAATACTGTGAAGCAAAGGTTTTCTTCTAACTTAAAGTAGAAGAATGCAAATGAATAATCTTAACCTTCAGTCACTCTCTATTCTTTTGTAAGTGGGAGATACATGACACTGCTTCATTTTTCATGTTTTTGAACTAGGTTTACTTAGACCGACATTGTGACAATCACATATTTAAACACAAAGGGAGCACAAGGTTGGCCACTTAAAACCAAAGTAGAACCTGTTCTTAATTCTATACTAATAAAAAAAATAGGAAACGTTGTGTCACACATTACTGTTTGCCAGAGAAATGAGTCCTTTCTTTAATATGACAAAAAAAATCTAGTGGAGTAATGAATGATGCAGTAGATTGAGTGGAGTCTGAAGACAGACTGAGAGAGTTGGGGCTGTTCAGTCTGCAGAAAAGAAGGCTCTGAGGAGACCTTATTGTGGCCTTCCAGTATCTCAAGGGGGCCTACAAGAAAGGTGGGGAGGGGCTTTTTAGGGTGTCAGATACTGATAGGACTAGGGGGAATGGATTAAAGCCAGAGATGGATTGGTTTGGATTGGACGTTAGGAAGAAGTTCTTCCCCATGAGGGTGGTGAGACACTGGCACAGGTTGCCCAGAGAGGTGGTGGAAGCCCCATCCCTGGAAGTTTTTAAGGCCAGGCTGGATGGGGCTCTGAGCAGCCTGATCTAGTGGGGGATGTCCCTGTCCATGGTGGGGGCATTGGAACTAGATGATCTTTAAGGTCCCTTCCAACCCTGACAATTCTATGATTCTGCGAATGGAGACATGCCATCCTTCCTGTTGAACCGAGTGGTATCAGCTACTTCTTATAGTTTCCTAAGGATTCTTTTTAACTTGAAGCTAATAAACTTGGAAGTGCAGCACTCTGTACCTACTCTGATGCAAAGCTTTTTAGCTTATAGCCACTAAGTAATAATAAGCCATAACACCTGTTCCAGACTATTTTTTCAAAGTAGCATTTGATTTGTAATAAATCCAAAAAGGAAAGGGCCCTTCCAGAGGAGAGGCAGAGAATGACTGCAAAATACTGTAGTATTTTGCTTCTTTGTAAATCAGAAGTCCATCTTGTCTTTCAGATAGGGTGAGAGATAGAAGTTGATGCTGAAGCTTTAAAAATCTGACTTGCAACATTTGAAACCAAGCCACGCCCCTTTTTACAAGTATTAAGAAATTAACCTGTAGTGAGCCATACTTTTTAAGTAGGGAACCACATTCCGATTGAAGTTTGTCTGGAGTTTCTGTGTAGAAATGGGAAGAACTGGAAACTGGCATTAGAACTCTGTCCTTCCTATATTGCTACTTGGTCTTCCTTATCCTTTGCACCTTAAAGTGTCTCTGCACTTATATTATGGACCTATTGGAGTTGGTCCAGAGGAGGGCCACAAAAACAATCGGGGGGCTGGAACATCTCTTCTGTGAAGACAAGCTGGGAGAGTTAGGGTTGTTCAGCCTGGAAAAGAGAAGGCGCCTGGGAGACCGTGTTACAGCCTTTCAATACTTAAAAGGGAACCTGTAAGAAAGATGGGCAATTTTTTTAGCAAGGCCTGTTGCAACAGGACATTGGTAATGGTTTTAAACTTAAAGAGGGTAGATTTGGACTGGATATAAGGAAGAAATTTCTTACAGTGAGGGCGGCGAAACCCTGGAACAGGTTGCCCAGAGAGGTAGTGAAGGCCCCATCCCTGGAGGTATTCAAGGTCAGGCTTGATGGGGCTCTGAGCAACCTGATCTAGTTAAAGATATCCCTGCTTACTGCAGGGGGGGTGAACTAGATGACCTTTAAAGGTCCCTTCCAACTCGACACACTCCATGATTCTATGATTGTCACGAATAATATTATGGAAGACACAGACGATTTTTTTCTCAGAGAAGGGTAGTCATCAAGGTGCCAGCGCTACATATAAAATATCTCTTGTGCCCTGAGTAAAGTGGGGTTGAGGAGGAGTAAGGACAGGACGGGAGAATCGTTTTTGACTCCATAGTGAGAAGAGTTGCATGGAACTTGAAAAACTGACATTTTTGTGGAATAACTGATTTTATACCTACCAGAGGAGGAACTGAGTATAACGTAGTCACATCTCCGGTATACTTGGGACTCTTACTTACGTTACCAAGTACTTATACTTAAATTTTCAGATGTACTCTGCAGCATGCACTCTGCTTATTCTACACTTTGGTGTTTAACATCTAACAGTTGCTTAACTTCTATCCGAGTGGATGATCCTAACACCATTCTGTCTTACAGGGAGAGAGTGATCTGAAGCTATGCTACTCAGAACATGCAGTGTCTATAGCCTTATCTATTAAACCAGCCAAGCATTGTCCACCCTGCAGTAAGGATGGGGTCTAAACAATGCTTGAGCAAAATGGCACCATTTTGAACTTGCAGAAAAATGAGAACTTTGTATGCTTGCAATGTGCTTGTGTGGGAACCAGCTATGCCTACCTAATGCTTGTGTATCCTTGTGTGCTTTGGTTTTTTCCTGCCTTCCTGGCTGGCGTCTCTTAGCTTTCTCCAAGCCCAACTCCTGCTACTCAGAGTCCCAAGAAACCTCCAACGAAGGACCCATTAGCGGATCTTAACATCAAGGATTTCTTGTAAACAATAAGGTACTCTGTGACTGCCTGCCAAAGCATGTTATGCTGTGGTACGTGTCTGGCACACAGATGTTGATTAGGCTGGTAGATTGAATGTAGCTGAAAAAATTGTAGCTGCAAAGATAAGTAGAAATATGTACTGATAATGTGGTGGTTTAAACAGAAAACTGATTTCTCTGTCCACGCTCTTAATTTTAGCCTGAAACCTTGACTTTTGACTACTTTTTTTTTTCCCCCCCAAAAGTGACTGCCAGGAAAAGTTATCTTCCATCTATAATTTCCATTTTTTGCCTTGATTCCATCCACTGCAAGGGTTGGGTTTTTTGCTTTGTTTCTTCCTGAAATTAATGCTAAAACAAATAGAATCATAATAGAGTACAAATACTGGAGGCAAAACAGTGGTGGAGAGGCTTGTTCTGGTCTTCTGGATGTGCAAACAAATTTGGTATCATTGATGTGAAGGGATCAAAAGAGGAAAAACTTAAGTATCCTGCTCATCCAAAGGGAGATTGTTTGCATCTCTTAAACACTGCCAGCTAATATTCTCCCCACAATACAATTTGTCAAGGCACTGCTTTTCTGACTCACATGAGATCCTGAGCAGTGTCATGTAGAACAAGAGTGGTGAAGAACAGAGAAGTAAATAAAAAGAAAAGAAAATAGAGGAGAGGCAAAAAACAGTACTGCAGAGTGGAAGTGGAAAAAAAAAAGCAAAAATGTTACTTTGAGGATTCTGAAGAAGGATGTGAAGAGGGCCAAGTAGAAGCATCAGACTGAACTGAATACAAGCCAATTAAAAGAATAATAATGCAGGAGCAAGGCAGACATTTTATAACTAAGGCTAGCCAGGTGTGGAGAAATCATCTTCGTAAGGCCCTTTTCTTTCTTCCTATAGCTTAATTCTAAGACTTGTTCTAAGTCCCCTCTGCAATGGATTTCGCAGTAGTGGAGGAGATCAGACTGCTCATAGCAGGGACCGCCCAGTCCCATTTCCCTCTTCTCCAAATTCTGGCCCTGAGGAGGTGTACCTGGCGCTTGGTGGGAGATGACCATGAGTGGAGATGCACCTTCATGGTGGGGACTCGCTGCTTTCAACTTAAGTTTGTAGTAGACAGATCCATAACTATCTGTGGGAAGACTGCTGCTTCATTAAAAGCTGGTGACAACTTCGAGGTGTGCAGTGATGAGCAGATTTGCTGCGCTTTCTAGAACATGCTTTTTTTTCTGGCTTACTCTTCCAGTTTTCATCTAATGCTTCTCTGTATTCACAGCTGCAGTTTTTCTGACTGGATGATGAAAACATGAATTTGGAGTCTACAAGCGGATGCTCAGAGTTTCAAAGTGAGCCACCAGTACCAAACCCAGCGCTTACTCAGACTTTCTCTTCCTCCTGAAACGTGTAGCACAGCTGTGAAAGTGAACGTTAGGAATGTGTACTACCTTAGCTGTTATCCCTACTCTCTCTAAATTTGTGTACTTGGGTTATTTGTGTTTTACAATTTAAACAATGGATGTATGTTTTTGATGCCTTCTAGTGCTTTTCTGAACCTATCCCATGGGGGCAGATTATGCAGCTGTTGTTTGGTGAGCCATTTGGAGCGATGTCTGTGGTTTTTGAAGGTTTCAATGTATATAACTTTTTGAGGACACCTAAAATTTCCCTAAGACTCAATTTCTCCTTTCTCTGTTACAAAACATAGTGTGATAATATCAGATAGTAAGGAAAATACTTACAAAGTTGTGTGGAATACTTTTTTTTTTTCCCCCCCAGTCACAAGAATCTCAATTGTCGTGAAAAAATGTTTTATTTTTGTGGCACTGTATATGTTAAGATAATTTAGAGTAATATAAAGGTAAACTTCCATAACAAATACTTTTTCGATGATTTACCAAGAATGAAAAATCATGTCTGAAAGAATACCATATTTATTGCTGTTTTTATTTCAAAATCTATTTTAATTATTTAAGTTTTTGCATTTGAAATTGGCCTATTTATCAGTTCTTGCTAAATGCACTGAAAATAAGTAAAGGGTCAGTTTCTCTCCATGTAGTTGGAAAAAGCAACCATAGTCATGTGGCATTAAGGGATTTCAAATACAAGAGCACTCTTTGGTGTATCTGTAGTCAAAACATTTACAAGTGATGTTACTCATCTCTGTTCAGTTCTTACATATATCTCTTAATTTAGTGCTTACCTATGTATGCCTTAGGCTAGTGTTTTCTCCATTGCCCCGAATGCGCTGTGAGTAGCTTTTGTACTATTGGTGATTAGATTTAATTCTGATCCAGAGATCCATGCCCTTTACTGTACATACTGTGTTTCTTTAATTTTTATTTGTTCTCATACTGTTTCTGCTGATGGCTTGGCGTAAGATCTTGACTCTTCAATGAGGTCACTGTTGATCAGTGTTACAAGTGGCTTGGCAGTTCTCTGTAAAAGCATATCGGGTTGGAAAGATAATTCACCTAAAGTCTTTCAAATGACCTATTTAATCAATGTATGGTACCATTAAAAGTGGTTGTATCCGAATTTGCTGTGGGGATAACATACAGCATAATGGGAAAGTTCTACAAAAAGCTAATTTCAAAATGGCTCTTCTTTGTATTTCGGTTTAAAAAAAAAAAAGAACAAAACTCAAAAAACAAAAAACCCTAGTGCATGTGTGCCCTCTGAGATGCAATAAACACCTTGATCAAAGTAAATACCTTGTTGCCAGTTTCATGGTCGTTTAGATGTTGAGCACAATGATACGCGTTTGAGAGGGGAAAAATGTGAATAGGTCCTGACACTGATTGCTGAGTCCGCTCCGCACGTTAATGACTTTTGTTGCTCTTTAAGCAGTACAGGTGTATTGGGTCAGGCTGAATCATAGAATCCTAGAATGGCCTAGGCTGGAAGGGCCTTAGAGATCATTTAGTCCAACCTCCCTGTCATGGGCAGGGACGCCTCTCAACTAGATCAGGCAACACATGGGGACCGAACAGGGATCGAACCCGTGACCTTAGTGTTATTCAGCACCACACTCTAACCAACTGAGCTCCCTGGGTGGAGTTAATCTTCCCACAGCAGTTCTCTCAATGCTGTTTTTTGGAGTGGTAGCTAGAAGGGTGTTGATAGCACCGCAGTGTTTTGGCTGCTGCTGAGCAGTGCTCACACGGTACCAAGGCTGCAGTTTTCCAACGTTCCCCCAACAGTAGGCTGGGGGCGGGCAACATCTTGAGAGGAGACACAGCTGGGCCAGCTGACCCAAACTGACCAAAGGGATATTCCATACCATATGACGTCAGCTCAGATATAAAAGCGAGAAGGAAGTGGGAGGGCATTCGCTGTTTGTGTTTGTCCTCTGGAGCAAGCGCTATGCATACTGGAGCCCTGCTTCCTGGGAAAATTGGCTGGATATCGCCCGCTGATGGGAAGTAGAGAATAATCTTTGTTTTGCTTTGCTTCTGCATGCAGCATTTGCTATTGCTACATTAAACTGCTCTTTATCTTAACTCGCGGGCCTCTTGCTACATCTTCCCTCTCCCCTGTCCATCTAAAAAAGGGGAGTGATAGAGCAGCTTTGGTGAGCTCCTGGCCGCCAGCCAGGGCCAAACCACCACAACAGGATAGATCTGTACAAAGCCAGACTGAGCATAAAGCTACAAGTAAAATGAGAATTCTCTAGTTTGACCTATAACACCTCATGAGGCTTCATTAAAGCTCTTCATCTCCTTAAACTGGAATGATATTTGAACTGTGAAGGTTTGTAGTCCTGGTCCGGATTTCTTTCATTCAACAGCTTATCGAAAGCTAGTACAGCTATGGGAATTGATTGTGCTATCGTTCGTTTTACAGCAGGGTGAAAGAAGGAGAAAGCATTTCTTACAGTTTTGTACATTAAAATCTTTCTGTTATGAAGTGACTAACTAGAGACCTCCTTGATGTAGTAATAAAATGAAGTGATGAAGCAGTACTGAATGCCAAGGACTGCTTCGAAGTACTTTATGAACAACAAAATGGTGAAATGACTTGATCATGCTCTGGTAATGTTTGAATCTTAAATCGGATTTCAAAGACATTTCCAAGGTGTTCATCTAGTAGGGGAGTGCTATTGCTTTAAGAGTTTTTCTGTTTTTCATTTGTGGGGGTTTTCTACTTGCTACTATGCTGGTATTCTGAATCTACCAAGTTTTAGCCTTGGAAAACTTGATTTTGTACCTTAGCCTTAGGATGTGTGCTCTGTTGAGTCATGGTGTTTTGCATTAGAAATCTGTAAAACTCAGCAAATTGCTGTGTTTTCTCACTATTTAAGCACTCAAACCTGAATAAGGTCAATAACTGCAAACCCAGAAAGGTTTTCCATGGGTTTGCCATCCTTCCTGTGTGCCATATGTTGCCAAATGCAAGGAGCACTCAACTTCTTACCACCGTGTTGTGCATGTCTGCTCAAATTAGGGACAGTATTTTCAAAGGACAGTCATAACCAAACATGTAAATACATTTCATTAGTGTCTCATTCAAATTAAGACGATGAGCTACTACTCAGTCTTTTGCAAATGTATCTTTGCAATGTTACACATTCCAAGGGGCAAACCTCAGCATGAGGGCTTTTTCTTTGCCAGGTACATGCCTCTGCAGTGCAGTAGTTGCTGTTCTGCATCAGCTTCATGTATGTCCATAACCCTTGGTCCTTGTTCTTGTTAGTCTTCTATAGTTCTCATGGCCAACAGCTTTGTGCAAGGCCAAGGTATTTGTGGCATTTGATATTCTATGAGGACAGAGAAGCAAACTCGGTGGAAGAGCAAGAAGCTTGTGCCCTGCGGGAAGAAAAACCAGTGTATTTCCTCAGTATGCTGAATAAAGCTAAAGAAAAGTGAGTCTTGGTCCCCCCATCACAAAAGAGTTAAATCTGGCTTGCAAGTACAACAAATAGTTGTTTCCTGGCCTGTAGACAAGAATATGTTATCATCTGAGTTTCGTCGTCCAGGCCTGAATGCATCTGTGTCCTGCTATGACTAACCACTTCTCAATACAAGCTGTAGAGGAGAGTGGGTGGGGAGGAGGGCTCCCATCTGTGGGAGGAAGAAACCATCTCCTTCCCCTGTGTTTTTCATGAGAGGAGGACAAGTTTCAGACAGCTGATACATCTCTTCCTCAAACTCTTGCTGTTCTGTCTGCTGGCTTCTTTAGAACCTGGCACCTCTGGCCACATGAAACTTATGTAGCTCCCCATTAAGCTTTGGATGCTCTAAGAAGTGGTAAATACAATGGAGAACCTGATCAGCTTACTGTAGAGGCTTGAACAAAGCCAACCCAACTTTTTCCTCAGAACTGACTCATTTTCTGAATGTTTGGGGTTAGCAGTGCCCTCTACTCCTCTTCCTCATCCACTTGTCATTAGTTTTAATTGGCTTTATTTGAGATTTTTAGAAAGGCATGCATTATAAAACACAGCTAAAATGTACTGTAGCTTGAGCTGAGGGCTTCTGGATTGATGCTGGTGCTTCCCCAGGTGAAAGCCTGGATAGTGAGAACTAATCTGTTGTCTTGTAAAGACAGATTAGTCCTGGGGACCACCTTAGCATTTCAGGCTGGTTGCAAAATCAGGCTGCTTCTTAAGATTTAGTAAGGCAGCTGCAAAGGCTACAGATTGGCCTTAAAAAAAACCAGGAAAGTCCAGAACAAAAACTGTAGCTGTGGGGGCAGGAGGGCAAGATTTGCTTTGTAAATGCATTTAAGACTTTGGTAGTTCAAAATGCTACTTCCTGATAGGTGACAACATCTACTTCATGAAATATCCAGTAGCCACAGCTGACATTGTTTTGTTTCTTGGCATGAGTCTTTGCTCCTGCCCCTCCTTCCCCATCTGTTGTCTCAGAGCAAGAGGGTTGTTATTCTGCGCGGGGAAAAAAAGTCCTAATAACTCTTAATGCCTAGAAAAGCCAACTGAAACTTTCTATGGTAGAAGTAGGGGCAGGGACACAAAGATGATACTCCAAGTTAGTGATCCAACTCCTCTAGAATATGAAATATGTATGGAATGGTTTTTAAAGAGAAAAGGGGTTTTTTTCCATGTATTGCAAGTGCTGTGAGCAGGGTGGGAAGTGGCAGACGCTGAGTAGTAATGAGGGGACAAAATAAAAGTTTCAGAGATGGGATTACAGAAGGAGAGAGGCTCTATGTATTTTAAAGCATGCAGCACTGCCACTTTTTCAGTTCCAGATCTTGGCTCCTGATGCTTTACCTTTTCCCTTAATTAAACTCTGCAAATGATGTGGGCAGGAAAAGCCTCCTGCTTGTTCTCTTGCCCAAGACATCTCTGAATGCAATTATATGTGCAAGAATAGTTGCCTTTGGGAGTTAGCAAAGGCGGCAGAACAGAATCAGAAACTGAAGTAAGTGAAGAAATGTGTGTGTAGGTGTGACATCCACTGCAAAGACTATGGAGAGAAAACCTCTGACGGTGTAGTGGAACCTGCAAAGGATCTGCTGAATGTCCTGCAACAGCACTGTGAAGCACCTGCACCCAAATGATCATGGTTGAACATGGTGAAGTTCGACCCCTTCTGGTAGGTGCATCCCCCTAGTCTGAGATGTCTCCCCTCACAGCAGTTGTCAGGCAGATTTCAGAGAAACTGCTAGAAACTTCTGGCTAGTTTGGGTCTAGCCCACCAGCCTAGGTGTACACCCAGGAAGTTGGCTGGCAGCCAACGGGAGGCTGAGATGGCTTGGATGGACCACAGCTCACATTGGCTGAGCTTTAAAATGGGGTCCTGCCGGGGGTGTGTTGGAGCATGTCCCTTCGGAGCAGCAGGTCTTGGAGTCAGGGCACAGCCTCCCGCTTGGTCTAGGACACCGGCCAGAGGAAATCCTCAATGTTGAGAGTCCTCATCTTTGTATGGGTCAGTGTATATACGATCTGGATCATTATTCTAAGTTTAAGAGTTGGGTGTAGTGTAGTAATTGCTCTTCTCAACTGATACCAGAACTTGTAAATTTAGGGGAGCTTTTCATTTTCTTAATAAATCCAGTTTAATTATGCTTGTGGGTTGACTGAAAATGGGAGCACTCCTCACACCTCTATTTTTGAAATATGGTTTAGTAGGATGAACGAGATTAGTCAGTTTACCTCAGTGTCATAAATACCTCAAGTAGTCTTCTTTGAAGGTCTTGCCAGAGCACTATCCCACTGTGTTGGAAGCAGAGATTTCATATCACTAAGCGCAACAGTGGCTACACTGATGGCACGTGCTATGTGAGGCTGCTGTAAAGATGCAAAGACCCGAGGAACTCAGATGAGAGGGAAAGCTGAGACAATCTTGCAGAGTTAAACTGGTAGTTGGAGACAGGCTAGTTGTTGTCAAGCAAAACTATGCAGAGGCTGGTGGGATCTCTGTCACATAGGGTAGGAGGGTTCTCCCCTGCCCTCTTAAGAATGTCACGTTGCTCCTCCCTGTCTGAACTTTTGCCCACCCAGGCCTGAAGAGTGTTCTTCAGGCCATATCTGAGGGAGGGGTGGGTGATGGAGAGGCGTGGGTACAGAGTGACCCCAGCGGGTGGGCAGATCTGTGCCTTCAGCCTTATAAGCTGCTAAAGGTATGGAGCTTGGGTGTTAAATGTCAGCAAAGAGATTTTGTGCATAAAGTACAGGTGCAGGCAAACACTAGGCTTTAAAAGAACCAGTATTTCGTACTCCTGGATGTATCTGTGTATAAATAAA